TTTAAAAAAAAAAAAAAAAAAAAAAAAAACAACCAGAAAAAGCAAAGTCAAAAGCAGTCCATCCCAGTAAGGTTTAGTTATGCTTGTAATGTTCCTGGTTACTTCCTGATGTGCCATTTATTTGATATGTGCCTTTGCTGCCTTGGTAACAATATATGTTGTGGATTTTTTAAGGGCCGAGAAGCAATGGAGTGGGTAATACATAAGTTAAATGCTGAGATTGAAGAATTGACGGCTTCGGCAAGAGGGAGCATACGGACACCGATGGCGGCGGCGGCATTTGTAGAGAAATGACGACAAACATTGGTATACAACACCCAGGAACCCGGGTCTCATTAGCTGGCAATATATTTATTTGTTATTTAAAAAGTACAACTATATTTTAGGTAGGATTTTTTTTTTTAACAAGCTGAAGAAAGGCTACATGACTTTTGTTCAAAACAAAGAGGTGTAGGGTTTCTAAATAAAGGGGATCATCTGAAATTGTCTTTGAAATGACTGGTTATGAGGGTTCCATTATTCATGTGAAAAAATTAACGATTTTTGAAAAGTACTTGGAAATGGGTTTTAGCATATTAAAGCGCCTTAAGGTAGACTTTTAAAGCTTTTCCTGCATTGGAACTCTACCTGGCCGTGGACCAACTGCCGAACAAAGCAGAGCCACCTCTTAAATATACACAGTTGCCCTTTGCAGAAGACTTTAAGAGGGAACTAACTGTAAAAGGAGAAATTGTATAGTTTTAAAACACATTAATTTGTATAAAATAACTTCCTCTGCTATAAACCACCATTAACAACCATACTTTTAATTTGGTACTTAAATGACATTTTTGTAGTGAAAAATATCACTAAATACATTATGCCAATCAAAAAAGATGATTTTATTGTATTAAAGAGTACTGTATTGATTTGCCAAAGTTTTGTAACTAAGTAAAAGTATTTCCTTCCTTGGATTTGTACTTTGTGACTTAGTATGCTGTATCGTGGGCTGGTTATGTTAACTGAAAAAATAAAGTCATTACCGGAATTTTGCAGCACTCTAAACTTAAACAGAAGAACAGCAGTTCACATCTTTTAGCATTTCACATTTGCCTAACTTATAAATTGCCATGTGTCAAAATCATGGTTCCGTAATTGCTAAAGCATGATATGTCAGGTTATTTGAATATAATTACTTTTTGAAATAATTGTGACCACAAAACATCTTTTTTACATGAGGAGCTGTACATCATTTGAAATTACTCAAATGATGTCTTGCTCTGAAGCATAAATCCCAGGTTCTTAATGTTTTTAATAACATGGTGCCGCTGCAGGGGTGGGGGCGGTGAAGAAGAAAAGAATAGGGAGGGGAAGGGCATTGACCTAAACTAACCACTGCAAGAATCGGTCTGCCGCTTTTATTCATGGGAAATCCTCATTTGGAGTGCCTAAGGGCAGCTGCACTCTGAAAAACAGTCCAGTAAATGTATTGTTTCATATTTTGTAGCAGTCGATTATCAACCATAAATAATATATTTAATACTTGCAGTTGATGCAGATATTTTTGTTAAAAGGTGATTGATTAGCTCTTCTCTTTATTTTACATTGCTTAATGTGATAAACCTCTAGTCAGGCTTCCTATAAAAGAAACCAGGTAATATATGTACATAAACCACAGAAATAGTATACCAAACTATTTAAAAGTTGGTGTTTTCCTACTTAAAATATTGTTTAGCATAACACTTCTTAGGGAATTTGTAAAAGCAAGTTAAATTCAATAAGGTTTTTGATCATTTTTTTGTAACCAGAAATGGTTTTTACAATCAGCTATACAAAACTGCTAGATACTGATATTTAATAAAAAGTTGCCTTGTATAATTTCTGTAAATTATACTTGTTCAGAAAAAGGTGTAATGCATGTCCCAATGATAAAAAAGGTTTCTAAACAAATTTTATCCTGTTATTTTTTTGCTCTAATACGATAAAATTCTCATTTTTTTTCCAGTGTATTTACCTCTTAAATAGCTGGTAGTTTATGGCTTTTACCTGTTAAAATAGAAATGCACAGCAAGGAGATGCATTTGAGAGGATTAAATTGGAAAGTTCAGAGATTAGACTCTTGGACTGTGGAGCATTTATCCTATTTAATATTAAAAGTGGAAATCATACGAATTAAGAACCTTTCTTTAAAAAATATTTTTACTGTTTTTCCTGTAACTTTTTTACAATGTGAAGAGCAAAATAAATGTTTTTCATCCTGAGAAGACACAATTGCCACAGGCTATAAGCCGGCTCTACGCTGCAAGGTTGAGGCTCCGGTTCTAACTTAGACGCGCAGAGACAAAGGGTTTCCGATGTCGCTGTGGAACCTCTCCCGCGCCTCCAGCCCTTTGTCCTCCGACTTTTAGTCCCCTCCCTGTCGTCATTTGCCCCCGGTCTTGGCACACTTCACGGGTTGCCCCAAACCCCTGGTAAATGTCAGGGGGAGTCGGCACGCTGCCCAGTTTCACAAGTTCACTGTAACTCGGGGTGGAGGCACCCAGGTGTTTTCAATGTCACCGACGGGACGCAGCCCTCTGCTCCGCAGATGGGCCGTCTGGCCGTGACCCCGGGTTGGGGTGCGCCACGACACCGGCCTCGGACGTGGCTCCGCGTCTCGCGCCCCCGAAACCACGCGGTCTCGCGTTCCCTACAGCGCCCCACTTGTCCCGTCCGTCCCGCCGGGCTACTACGGAAGCCCGCGGGGCACATGCTCGGGACTCTCGCCGAGCCAATCGGTAGGCGAGGCCGGCCGGCCGGCTTGGGGATTGGCACCCGCGGCCCGGGTCGCGCGTCCCCATTGGCTCCCGGAGCCGGGGGGATTCCACGGCAGGGCAGCAGGGGCTGTTCGGGAGGGCCGGGCGGGGCAGAGACGGTGGGATTGGCAGGTCCGAAGCCCCGCCCCTTCCGCTTCTCAGGCCTGACCTTCCGGCCGCTGGGTCGTTCGCTTAGCCGACATTGACGCGTCCTCGCGATTTGGCCCGACAAGCCCAGTCTCGTGACATCATGGTGGCGTACTGGCGACAGGCTGGACTCAGGTGGGCCCGGGCTGCGGAAGGGGCGGGCAGGGGAGGCGGGCAGGGAGGGCCGGCGCGGCCCGAGGTCGGAGGTCACGCGGAGCGCGGCGGGGGTCCGGCCGGGCGAGTGCGCCCTAAGATGGCGCCCCTACGGACGGAGGGGGCCGGGCCCCCAGCTTGCAGGTGCAGACGCGCCTCGTGTGTGCCCGAGCGCCTGGCACGCACCTCGGCCACCTCTGGCCAGCGCGATGCCATGTCAGAGGCACAGCTTCTCTTGTGCAGGGAAGGCCTGGGTCCTTTGGAGTGACACTCAGCTCCTGGCGTAAAAGGGGTGTAGTTACATAAAGCGTGGGAACCAGAAGGCTTGGGGAGAGTCGTCGTGATGGAAACCACTCTCAGCATCTCTGGCCTTTCTTTCCAGCACCAAACTGGGGGCCTTTTATGATGGTGCCCACTTTTTATTATTTTAAGGGCACGGTTGCACTCAGGTTTCCTTATGGGTAAAACGGGGGAAAGCCTTTGGTAACCTGTAGAGAGCTCTGCGCACAGGTGAGCGGTGGCTGCTGGGAAGCTCAGCATGGAACCCATTTGAAGACACACCGTCTAGTGTCAGGGGAACCCATCGGGCTGCGCTTCCTCACCTGTGCCCCCAGGTGAGCGTAGCACCTGGCTACAGGCGACACACCTTATTACTTAACCGGACATGGTAGCACCTTCTAGTGGCGGCAGCCTCGGGCATAGGCCCGTGAGACAGATGAGCCACCCCAGAGTTTTCTGACGTGTGAGGCCAAGCCAAGTCTCGTAGAAGCGGAAGGAGCCCTGTCCCAGTAACAGGTGCCATTTATTAAGCACCTACTATGTGAGGAATGTGGTGACTCATGCTCTTCACACTTTGTCTCTCCTCCCACCCACCGGTGGGGCAAGTGTAATTATCCTTCTATTTTATTCTATTGTTTCTCTGGGTGAATAAACTAGCTGAAAAGATTGAACAGCCTGAAGGTCACCCAATTAGTAAGAGTGGAAGCAGGCATGGGAACGCCTACCTCTTGACCAAAAAAAAACAAAACAAAAACCCAAATCTGAAACATGACAAAATAGACAGCAGCACCCTCCCCCCTTTCCTGTTTTCAAAAAGTGTAAAAAGTGAGCTGACATCTTTTGGAAAATAAGATGTTGATGGGAGTCCATCTACTAAACAGGAAGCAGACTGTTAGATATTTTGCTAGAATTGATGTTCTCTAAGGACTTTTCAGCAGTTAAATTTGGAAACCTTGATTGGGAAGTATTTTTGATGGCAGAAATGTGAAACAGAATCCCACATTCTCAGGAAAACCTTTAAATAATCGGGAAGAACTTTTGATTCAAAATAGTTGTTTTCCCTTTTAATTATATGTACTTTACCGTGTAAGAATAATGTAAGAAGAAATTTTAAGTAGAGAAGTGGGGAAAAGAAATCACTTATGTTACAGATTCCATTAACATTTTGGTCTATTTCCTGTGCTGTGGGATTTTTTTTTTAAATATGCATCTTTTCTTTTGAATTAATGTGTATTAAAGAGGGAAAACAGTACAAAGTAGAAAAACTAAAGGTCACTCATCCTAGCACCAATTAAGACTTTGGTACATTTCTTTCTAGCCTTCTTTTTTTTGTTTGTATAGATTCCTTTTGGCACTAGTCATTTTTAAATCCAATTCTATAATAATGTACAATCAAACCAAAATTAAAAAGCATAGGAAGAAAAAGAAAAACAGTCTCACAGCCAGTCCAGTCTGGCTGGATCATTGATAATAAACTTTATATTGTCTCTCATTTTCTCCCAGCTACATCCGATACTCCCAGATCTGTGCAAAAGCAGTGAGAGATGCTCTGAAAACAGAATTCAAAGCAAATGCTGAAAAGACTTCTGGCAGCAGCGTAAAAATTGTGAAAGTGAAAAAGGAATAATCTGTAAGTTCTGATTTATTTAGAAGAGTTGTATCTTAAATTGTTATAGTACTTTAAAAAAATCAAAGTAATTTTAGCTTTGAGTTGTGTCCTTTTCTTGGTCAGCCGGTGTGTGTAGAAGTTAGTTACTGGGATAATAATTTAAAGCACACAAGTTATAGAAGTCCAGTGGCATAATAGAAGGATGATGTTTTGGGCCCTGACAAGCAGAAGTAATTGGCACATTGATTTTCAGCTCATTTAGCAATGCTTAGGTAGAGAGCCGCCTTATTTTAATTAAACCTGTTTCATTTGCACAAAATCAAATAATTTGGAGGATAAACTCCCCACTTTTGTAATTGCTATTGGAGTTACATAACAGTTCAGGAGCATGAAAAATTACAGCTCTTTGTATTTTTATTTCCCCCACATCTGCAAACGTTCTCACAAATCACTGCCTGAATGTAAGGGCTGCTGGTGCAGGCGAGGGTCCTGCTATTCCGTCACCCATATAATCTGCAAGACCCTGCAGTGAGCACTGTTTTGCTGAATGTATTGTGCCTGCAGAGGGTTTGGTTCATCTCACTTCTCCAGAGGTGTTGGCAATGTGAAGTTACAGCCTAGACAGGAAAAGACAGTTTTGTACAGTTGACAAGTTCTGGCTTTTGTGCACCAAACTGCTGAAGTTATTTGATCTCTAAACCACTTTCTTGACACTGTCATTTCAAAGATAAGCAAGGCAAATTTCCAGAGAGTGGTTTTTCAGGTTTGATTTTCTTGTTTTGCTTTTTAAAAAGCTTCAGCCCCGCAGTAGCAGAGAGACGCGGTAAATATTAATCCTTTGGCAGCTTGTGGTTATGAGCAATTTTACTTATTGGAACTGTCTCCCCTAAGCACTTTTCATTTTCATTTTGAATTAGTAAATATTTTATTACAATCTGGAGATGCGGTGTTTTGAATTGAGCCCTTTTTCGAGGGGCTCCCTGTCTAATCTCATAATTCTGAGTAATGAGACCTGGTTTTATGTTGGGTTGTTTTGTTTTTAACAGTGAGCTAACTGAGAAAAGCACTTCGCCTTTCTCTGCAGCATAGTCAAGCCAAACTGCATCTCACTCCCTTGACCTTGTGAAATCCTTAGGAGAAAGTAGTGTCCAGCTCCCTTAAACAAAGCATTGACCGCTCTCCATATGTCCTGCAGGGGAGTTGGCCCCCACCCCATCAGCACAGGGCGATTTTAGTGTCTTTTCAAAGCAGAGTAGTTTGTTTATTGCTAGGAGAGTTTGGGTTTGACTTGGCAGGAAGCACGTGCCTGTTCGGCTGAGGCTCTGCACGTGAACCAGCACTTTTCTACAGCTGACAACCAAGGTCCATCACCAGCCGTGCGAGTGGAAGCCACAGTTGGCTTATGCAGTTCAGTATGAGAACATCACTTCCCCTATTCAGGTGGGATTTTTTAAGAAAACACAAAGGACCAGCAACTTTTGCATTTTCTTTTTTTTTTTTTTCTAGACCCTGACTAAAGCTTGAAACACTGCATTTTCAAGGTGAAGATGTGTGGGCACATGTTATGGCAGATTGAAAACGATCACACTTCATGGAAAAAAATACCTGTCTTGTTCCTAGATTGACAATGTCAATAAATTGAAGTATATGGTTCACTCATGCTGTTGGGTTTTGGTTTCCGTCGGACTTTTTCCTTTTCTTTATGGGAACTCCTGCACAGCTGCAGGATTATGACCATGTAAACTGAGGTTTCGTGACATTGACAATATTAGACTGTGTCATTGAGGTACTCTCATTGTCCCATATCTTTGAATTGCAGAAGCCATGGCAGATTAGTGGCTGGGCCCTTACCCACCAGCCTCCTCCTTTTGTGCAGGTGGTGCTGCCTAGGTGATGCTGCTTGGCCAGTAGCCTAAACAAAAATATGAACTGAAACCCTGGATGAGAAGAAAAACTAGGAGATGGTAGAATTCAGTTTTTATTGTGCACTTTTTTTACAACCTATAGAGAAGAGCTATCACGGTTGGAATTTCAGCACAAAGGGCTTTTCACATTGTTTTATAAATGACTCTCCATGGGCCAGGAGTCTTTCTCTTAGGAAATGAGGCAAAGCTGTTCAGTCACCGGATCGATGGCCCGAACTGCAATCAAAATCTAAGATTCTTGCCTGCAGCCTGGGACATGATGATTACAGCAGTTAGACGGTGTTTGCAAGGTGATTCATTCATTCGTTAAATATTTACGGATGAAGAATTATTGCAAGTGTTTTCATCTTTCATCTTGTTTTCATCTTTCTTTGAAACTTGGAAGCACTTGGCCAAGTAAAACCACTGCAAAGTTAACTGCTTGATTTTAACTGTTTTTGGAGAATGGAGAAATAAATTTGAGCAGGCAATTTTGAAACACTGTTGAGTTTGTACACCAGGGCCAGTGTTCAGCCTGGTACTGGAGCTAGCAGGAATTTATCAGGGAAGGAGCCCAAGAAAAAGCCCTTGTTGTCAGCCTCTGGCAGTGACTTCTGCCCAAGGACACTTGACATGTAGGTTTTATTTCATTCTCCGCACACGGCTTGCAAGAAGTGACACAAGAGGGAGAGGCTAAGAGCTTAAGTCCTTTGCCTCAGGGCTGTTGTCCTGCTGTTTTGAAGTCGAGGCACTTGAGTTGTCAGTGCTTCCTAGCAGAGATGAAGGTACTAGGAAGCACCTTTCATACAGACTGGGCTAAGGGGGCCTTTTTGATATCAGACAAAGTAACTGATAGGCAAAGGGCTAAAGGATTTCCAGTCAAGTAAGTAGAGATAAGTCATTGATTAGGGAGGCTGGCAGATGTGATCATTACAGGTGAGAGAGACTTAGAGACAGGGTTGCAGTGTGGCAATGATTAAAGTAACAAAAAAAAGACACCGACTGCCAGCAAAGATTCTTTAAGGCTTTTCTCTATGATTAAGGAAAAAAAAAACAAACCTGAACTGATAACTGATGAAACAAACTTTCTGCATCCAGGGCTGCTGAGTAGCTGGCAGCACTGCCCGGATTACTAGGGGTCCCTGATCAGGTCTACTTGGGGGTATTTCACTAGCTAGTTGGGTGATTGTCGTTAATGACTTTCTCATGCCGTGTTCTCGTGTGTGAAGTGAAGGAATCGAACAAGCTCTGAAATTTTGATCCTACTGTGGCGGTCTCTGAGAGACCAATGTCGCCGTAGCAACCAGACCACCAAAGGAGCAATCTCTTCAAAATCAGAGGACAGATTTCTTTTGGTTTCTAGCTGTTTCTAGTTTTTTAATCTATTTCTACCATACAAAAGAGTAGGCTGGTGAGATGCACTTTGAAATATTTTTAACTACTCAAATTAATCAGTCTGGGTGGTTAGACTCCAAGAAAGGAATTTATTTAGTCTGAAATAAAGCAATTTAGCCATTTAAAATTGAATTTCTTTGTACTTTAATGATTACTATTGAGCAAACAAAAATCTTTACAGTAATATGAAACAGCAGAAGTTTTTTAATTTAGATTTATATCCTTCCTTGCATCTATTTAATTGCCTTGGAGAGATTTGAGAAGGAAAGTGCTAGCGGAAGCATGTGTATCAATTCTTACGTAACCACAGGTTGTAGGTCTTTCGAGCATCTAAGGAAGTTATGAACTTCAAACTAGGAGTAGATAGGTGCAGTTTCTTATTAAATCTGCTTGTTTTCAGTGATCTTGAGCAACTAGAAAGTGTTTAAAACTTTTTAATTTTGTAAATAGAAGGCTTGCCATGATGTTGACAGCAAGAGTTCATTTTCTCTTGCTACATGTTTATTTCCTTATGATGCATTTGTGAAAAGAATGAAGTTCCTCAGAATGAGCTACTGTCATCCATCCTCCTGCTGCCCGATTATTGCAGATGACAAAGCAAGTCGGGAGAGTTCTGCAGTGAGGGTCGAGCCTCTTGCCTTTGCCAGCTATCCATGGATCAAATAGTACACAGCTCTGGTAATTCTAGAAGACCATTAAAACCCTTTGGTACTAGAAGGGACGGCAGTGCTATATGTCAGAAATAGGTAAACTGTAATTAAGAAGCTATGGATGATTTGATTACACTCTTGTGTATTTGGTCCTGTTGTAATGTGAGCAGATTAAATAAAATCGTGTAATGGTTAAAGCTGTGTCATCATGCAAACATTTATGGCAACTTCTGCAAATTAATTGGAACTGTGAAAGTTCCTTAATGAGACGATGTCCTCCGTAACCAAGAAGGACACTGCAGCCGTCGCTGCTTAATTTTTAGATTTGAATGGTTGCCGAGCATACGCTGCCCTTTGAGAGAGCCGAGGATACAGTGCATTCTCAGAAGGTGACCTGAACGGAAGGGAAGAGGGCATTTCGAAATAGCCTTTACAGGGAAAACCAAAGATGATTAATGAACTCCCAGAGTCTAACGCTAATAAGAAACTTAAAGTATATGCATATGTTTGTTAAAAGCCAGCTATTCAGAAATGAAGGTGAGACACGATGGGAGTGCCTGCGTTTTGCTTGTCATTTGGGGGCTTTTCTTTTTCGGCCAGGTATGTTTGTGGAAAGGACCGCACTTCCCTTTTTCCCTTTTCCGTTAGCACCATGAACTGTGCACGGGTCTACAATTGACTCAGGGACGCTGACTCACTGACCTCGGCCGTGAGGCTCCCCAGCTGGCAGTTAGGCACCTGGAGGCCGGCAAGAGCTAGGAGGTAGGACGCTGGGCACAGTCCTTACAGCCCTGGGACGCCCAGTAAGGAGTCCGGGGTGCTGCTCAGTGCTGCTGAAGCGTTAACAGGTTAACGTCAGCTGCGCTGGTTCCCCACACAGCCACGTGTGTCCTCCCGATGCCTGGCACGTGCTATGGCCTACAGGAAATACCCAATAAACAGTTGTAAACAAAGGGAATGCTTTGTGATACATGCAGTGTGCTACTAAAAAAGAGTTCCTGGAGTATGTGCTGAATGTCACACCATGCGTGTTGGCGAGTGCCAGCAGAAGCCCCTCACGCCTGCCAGTCACGTGCCCGGCCCCCTCCCCCCAGTCTAGTGACAAAGCGAAAGCTGAGGCGGCTGCGTGGCTAGTGCACGGCGGTGCCCAGCGGCAGGCCTGGCACTGCCGCCGGAAACTCGTCTGCAGAGGACCTTGCGGAAGGGCCTCCGCCCTGCAGCTGCCACTCACGCGGCCGCCTCGGTCTCTGCCGCCCCCGCCACTGCCTCGCTCTCCTCCAGAGCCGCCCGGGCGTCTTGGAACTGCTGGTACTCGGACACCAGGTCGTGGACGTTGCTCTCGGCCTCGGCGAACTCGCCGGCGTCCATGCCCTCGCCCGTGTACCAGTGCACGAACGCCTTCCTCCTGAACATGGCGGAGAACTGCTCCGACACCCGGGTGAACAGCTCCTGGATGGCCGTGTTGTTGCCGATGAAGGTGGCGGCCATGCTGAGCCCGCGGGGCGGGATGTCGCACACGGCCACCTTGACGTTGTTGGGGATCCACTCCACGAAGCAGCCGCTGTGCCGCGTCTGCACGCCGAGCAGCTGCTCGTCCACCTCCCTGGTGGACATCTTGCCCCGGAAGATGCAGGCCACCGTCAGGTAGCGGCCGCGCCGCGGGTCGCAGGCCGCCATGGTGTTGCGCGCGTCGAACATCTGCTGCGTGAGCTCGGCCACCGAGAGCGCACGGTACGGCTGGCTGCCGCGCGCCGTGAGCGGCGCGAAGCCCGGCATGAAGAAGTGCAGGCGCGGGAAGGGCACCATGTTGACGGCCAGCTTGCGCAGGTCGGCGTTGAGCTGGCCCGGGAAGCGCAGCGACGTGGTGACGCCGCTCATGGTCAGCGACACCAGGTGGTTGAGGTCGCCGTAGGTGGGCGTGGCCAGCCGCAGCGTGCGGAAGCAGATGTCGTAGAGCGCCTCGTTGTCGATGCAGAAGCAGGCGTCGGCGTGCTCGATGAGCTGGTGGGCGGCCAGCACGGCGTTGTAGGGCTCCACCACGGTGTCCGACACCTTGGGCGACGGCATGACGCTGAACGAGTGGAGGATGCGGTCCGGGTACTCCTCCCGGATCTTGCTCATGAGCAGCGTGCCCATGCCCGAGCCCGTGCCCCCGCCCAGCGAGTGCACCACCTGGAAGCCCTGCAGGCAGTCGCAGGCCTCGCTCTCGCCCCGCACCACGTCCAGCACGCTCTCCAGCAGCTCCGCGCCCTCCGTGTAGTGGCCCTTCGCCCAGTTGTTGCCGGCCCCGGAGTTCCCTGTGGCAGACAGGAGTCATGGGGGCCTTGCTCCGAGGAGAGGGGGGGTGGGGGGAAGGCAGGAGGGGGGGAGTGAGGACACCAGCAGGAGGCGTCCTCCTGTCACTCTGGCAGAACCTTTCAGAAAAACCTACCGTGGACAAAATTGTCTGGTTGGAAGAGGGCTCCCAGTTTGCTAGATCGGATGCTGTCCATTGTCCCGGGTTCCAGGTCCACCAAGACTGCCCGCGGCACATATTTCTTACCTGGGTATAAAAATAGGAAGACGTCAGCAGACTGTTGTTTTTCTAAAAGTTACCGTTTCATCAGAATATTGTAGAACCCTGTGATACTGGTCAAAAAATAGAAAGGTATTGGGGCTGGCCGAGTGGCGCGATGGTTAAGAACTCGCTTGGGATGCCAGAGGGCCCCGGTTCGGATCCCACATATGAGGGCCAGTGACACTGCCCTCCACAAGCTAAGATGCTGAACAACAGCTCAACCTGGAGCTGGGCTGCCATGAGTCACCGGCGACGGTGTGGGCTGCAGTCCCTGTGGCAGTGGATTGCCATGGGCTACCGTGTGTGGCCAGCAGCCAGCGTGAGCGGCCAGCAGCCGCAGTGAGCGGCCGTCCAGAAGCCGGCGACTGATCTGCCTCGCCCGGGAAGAGCGCAATGATGGTGGCAACTTGGGCCAGTGAAGCAACGTCCTCCACAACTAGATTGAAGAACAAAACGACAGCAACTTGTCTGTTCCCCTTTCCCCAATTCCCCAGCACTGTTCCCATCCCCCCAATTCCCCAATAAAAATCTTTAAAAAAAAAAATAGAAAGGTATTCTCGAAGGTGTCTTTGGTAGAGAGAGATTTGGAATCAGATTCTTGACCCCAGTAGCAATCACAGAAAGGTATAAAATACCCTACAGATTCTCTTTCTAGCATTGTTTTGTTGTGTTGTTATGTTGTGTTGCCAATGACAGATTCTGTTCCTATTGGAAGTGATTCTGGTTTCCTTTTTAAAACCCAAAAGGAAGGTTGGTGCCTTATCTGCATGGGTTAAGACGTGTGCCCCCATTTAGTGACGTCTTTGCCAGGGCTTGCCCGCAAACAGAGCTTGGGGACTTTCCACTCGGGATTCCCATGTGACATCCCGTGGGCCACCCTCTCTGAATGTGCCCCCCGGGTTGGTGACCACTGCTACCTGAGCACAGCATCCTACCGTGGGCCTCGTTGTAGTACACGTTGATTCTCTCCAGCTGCAGGGCGCAGTCCCCACCATAGCTCCCAGCTGAGTCGATCCCATGCTCCTCTCCAATCACCTCCCAGAACTGAAACCAGAAAGAGGGACGTCAGTGTGCGCATGCGTGGGGGGGGGGTGCGTGTGGTCGGGGAGACCCCTGGAAAGGCCGTGTTGGCTCCAGCAAGCTAGCAGATTGAGCAGGAATACAGGAGGCGAGCAAGGGCCTGCTCCCCTGGATCTGTCTGACCGTCCCTTCCCTGGCACTCTTTCTGTTCCTTTTCATAGATGCCCTCTCTGTGACATAACTCATTCTATACCTCTACGAAATGCAAATGTGACGACTGCATTTTACAGCCACCTGAACTCCTTAAATGAAATGTCAACACAAACTACTCCACTGGATTTTGCTCTGTTAAATTCAGGCCATTGTACACATTAAAGCTGTTGTTTTAGAATTTCCCATCAGACGGTGTATCTCTAATTTCACTTTATAGTGCTTCACGCTAGTAAGGTCTAGATCCCGTGAAATGAAAGTAACTGAACTCTTATCTGATTTCACAATAATATCTCATTTCACTTTGGAGATGTATTTTCATGCAGTTTCCCAAAAAGCCCATAACTAGGACATCTATGCACAATTTAAGCAATGTGCATTTTTGGTGATCAGGTGGGCTCACGATTCAAACCATACGTAGCCTGTTCTCTCTATGTGACTTTCAGTCACAGATCCAGTATTTATTAATACAGATATATGCCAAGCTTGTAGTATGAAAACAGTTACTGAGACGGCTCCTTTTCATTGCCCTAGAGAAGCACATAGCACAGTGCAATGAAAATGTTTATGTCCAAGTCCCCAGGGACATGTTCCCAGCCATATCTTGTAAATGATGGCCCTGCTTTGGCCATGGTCTTATTAACAAGGCTATTTTATAGTAAGTTATCAGCACTGTTCAGGGTGTGGAACAATAAATAAGTTGTATGGCACCCCAAATTAAATGTGACTTAGAGTTCTTATGGCCCCAAATAATAAGTAGTGGCTGGGGCTCTAACCACTGACCACCCCTCCCCCCACCCTCAACCCCCCCCCTTCTGGAGTAAGGGCTGAGACCCTATCTAGACCCTGCACTCCCTCTCGCGGTCCTCTTTCCATATTATCTTCCAACTGCAGAGCCTCCCATTCTCTGTGTGTGTTCGTTTTGAACATCTTATCACTGTGAATCGAAGGACAACTTTTCTTCTTTGCCTCAGGTTTGAAGCACTTGCATTAAAGGTTTTTGCGCAGCTGCGTTATTCACAATAACCAAGACTTGGAAACAATCCAAGTGTCCATTGACAGCTTAGCGGATAAATAAAATGTGACATATTCATACACTGGAATGTTATTCAGCCTGAAAACAGGAAGAAGATTCTAACACGCACTTCAACAAGGATGAACCTTGGAAACATTGTGCTAAGTGACATAAGCCAGTCAAAAAGGACAAGTACTCTATGATTCCACTTCTAGAAGGTCCCCAAAGTAGTCGAATCCATACAGACAGAAAGTAGAAAATAGTTGCCAGGGGCTGGGGGCGGGGAAATGGGCAGTTAGGTTTAATGGGAACAGAGTTTCAGGTTTGCAAGATACACTGAATGATACACTTCAAAGTGGTTCAGATGGTAAATCTTATGCCATTTTATCTGTAAGTTTTTTAAAAATTAAAACCAGTTTTTATTACAATTCATACTTGCAAAAGTAATTTCAAAATTACTGATTGAGAACAATCAGATAGCTGTTACGCTCTAGAACTGGTTATCTTAAAATTAGGGTTGGAGACCTTGGGCTCTGCCATTGGTTTTCTTAGTGTTAGCCAACTGAACCAGGTCCTTTGTAGAAAAATTTAAGGGGGGAAGAAAAAAACTCATTTATAGTCCCCGGGGGGGGAGGGGAGGAGGTATTTTAATTCTCTCTGCTGCTGTACACAAAATTTTTAGGTTTGCCTCTTTCCTTTTCTATTATATATTAAATAGAACAGTAGTTGACCTTTTTAAACTTGATAACAAACCTTGGGGAGGAGGGAAAGATATCTTAGTGACATGGTATAAAAAATTTCCCTACAAACTTTGGAAAACTTTTGAGACAAATTACTGTTTTTAGATATGAAAAGTTCATTGCTTGACGTGATAAAAGTAAAAGTGGCTGACATGTATGATACACATGTCAGAGTCGACATAATTAACATGAATTAAATGAACCCTTTAAGTCTTTCCTATGTCCTCTGTCTCTTTAATTAAAGGCATTGCTTAATAGATCAGATATTTAGCAAGTGCATGCAATGTGCTAGGTTCCTTGTCTCCCCTGCTGACTTGGGGATATTTTCTCAGCTGGCTACTCCTATGGTCCGCGGTACAGCTAGCACTAGCCATCGAAATTTCCTTACCTTGGCTCCGATCTGGTTACCACACTGGCCAATCTGAATGTGTACAATTTCACGCATCCTGGCTCTCTGCCCAAGTGTAAGATCTTCACGGATCCTCAGACTCTGGGAGAGCTGCCCTTCACCTATGTGAGCCCAACACAACTGTGGTCATTCAGTGATGGGACCAACAGACCCAACTACCCTCCCAGGGTGACCCAAGGGCGTGTCCAGCCCAGAGGCCCAGCCCTCACCCTTCCCTGCTCTCTGCCCTATCATCCTGGTGAAGGGGGTGTTTTTCCTTCTCCCAACAAAGAATACTGCCCAGTCATTTCCTAGAGTTCAAGACCAATGGCTGCCTTTGTGCCCAGTGCCTGGAGGTCCTGCACCAGGTGTGGGCCTGCTGTGGTGGACTCTGGGCGTCCAGCTGGTGAGGTATGTCGTGTGACGACTGAGCCATGGCCCCCGGCTCACTGAGGTGGCAGGGACCACCTCCAGAGCATCCCTGTCCAAGCCAGTTGTATTATTAGGAATCCTTTTGTCTAAACCCATCACTTGGCAGACGAGACCATGCGTGATATCCCAAAACATGAAGTGACTTCACCACAGACACAACCAGTAGGACATTTCCCACGCTCCCTCAAGAGCCTTCCATGGCTCCCGCTGTCTTCAGCCACGTTTCCTAAGGAGCCTGAAAGCCACCGGCGGCGCTGGGTGACTTTGGGGGAAACATGAATAGACAGTTTTTATTTTTATGTTGTATACCTTAATTAGATAGAAAATTAATAATAACTAGTATTTACAAAAGTGAAATGGTAAGAAGAGTTTCCTTTTTGAATGTGGCCAAAGTTGTGATGATATGTGATTCTCAGGAGCTTGGGAAACCATAATCGAAAGATAACTCTCAACTCCGTGGCTTACCATCAAGGCTTTCCCAGCCTGGCCCCAAATGCCTTCCCCACCCCTTCACCAGACTTTGGGCCTCACCAAGCCGGTGCTAGAGGGGACAGGAAGACGTTTTCACGCCGGGACTGTCGTGTCTGTGACCTATAGCTGTGCTTCCCATCATGCACTTCCGCAGGTGCACACTCTCCCCTCCCTCACATTTCCTCTGCCACCTGCTCTGTCACTGCCCTGCAGTGCCTTCTGCCCAGGCCTGGGCCTGGCTGGCCGTCCCCTCGGCACCTTTCGTGGTTTTGCGCATTGTTGCCCCCATTTGTCCCACTGTCCAGGGTTATTGCTTGCCATCGGTTGTTTTTTTTACCGTGGTTTCTCTGAGAGCCGATGGACTCCCAACAGGGCTTCCCTAACACCTGCCTGCAGCCCGGCTGCCCAGCAGCACAGAGCTTCCGAGGTGCAGGCCCGGGGCAGACAGAGCCACGTCCTGGTCCTGGAGGCCCCCGGCTTGTGGACAACCACAGCCGGCAAGCACCTGCTTCTTGAGGCCTCTCTCCAGAGTCTGCCAGGCACCCCAAGGCAGGTCCCCACTCACTGAATAGCTACCCACGGGGACCTGCCACATGCCGGGCATGCATTGGGAGCTGGGCTTTCAGGAATGGAGGAGACAGGTGGGGCAGCCCCTGCGCTCACGGAGCTCCCCTGATTCAGGAAGAAACCATCGCCCAGGATGTGGATCCAAGGGGAACACTGAACTGGACTCAGACCTGGAGCCCCTGGGTCCCCCCTCCCCTGCCTCTGACCTGATGGGTGATGCGGGCTGAGGGATTGGTCCTGCCTCTCTCCAAGCCCGGTCCTGACTGTCAACTCCTAAACCCCATGCAATTCCTACTGGCCAGGCGAGGCCCTAGATGCAAGGTCAGTGATTCGGGCTGAAAAGTGACTAGCAGTGGACTTCCTGGGGGGAACAGTCTCTACTTTCTCCTGAAGGAGTTTGCCACACAGTGAAAGGACCTGGGCTGAGCACTGCAAGAGAAGAACTGTGTCCCTCGGGAACCAGCACCAGGCTGGCTCCTACCAGCGATCTCATGGGCCACATGCCCACGAAGATAGATTGGCTAATAACATTGTATCCACATGGAGCTGCGAAATGTGAACCTGGCCTGAGGCTTATGCAAACAGAAATCCTTGTTTTCAGGAGATACTATGACGCATTCAGGGTCAAGAGTCACCAAGGAGCAAAATACTCACAAACATTTAGGCAACAAGAATAACAACGTGATAAATGGAGAGAGAGAAACAAATGTGACAAAATGTTAACAATTGGTGCATCTTTCCAAAGACAGGCAAGATTAGTACTCGCAGCACTTCTCTAAGTTTGGAATTTGTTTCTACCCAAATATGAATGACCATGTGCTTCACAGGTGCTTCTCATCACCTCCACAGGTAAAGAGAAGAAAGTGTAAATTCAAGAGGAAGAAATGTGCAGGTGCCTAGCAGCCTTTTTCACCAATTAAAAAATATACACAGAATAAACCTTTCAGCTTCCAGAGAAGTCACCCCATCCTCCTCCCTCAGTGCCTTCCTCCCTGCAAGCCTTCACCCCTTCGCTCTCCCCTCTGTCCCCCGCACCTGCCCTCCCCACTCTCCCCCTGCTTATCAGAATCCGACAAAGTTCCAGGGCTGCTCCACTGCCCCCCTCCTGGAGTGGCTGTGACCAGCCCCAGCCCCAGGGTCAGAGACCCCCCTGCCTCCTGTGGCCCCAGCACTTTCCTTGGCAATTACCACATGCCCGCGTGTTTGCTAATTACTTATAGACATGCCTTATCTCCCCACCAGCCTGGCAGCTGCCACTGCCATTTCACCTTTGAGTCCCCAAAGTGCCTGATGTGCAACCAGGCCTCAGTAAATGTTTGTGGAGCGCACACCAACAGCTGGGCAAGTCTGAGCAGCCATGCTCAGAATGGCAGGTTTTCTTAAAGCCAATAATGCACTGATTCACAAGTGTGTCCTAGTGGGGCTGGTGCCCCAGGACTTTTTCCTCCGTCCCCTAAGGGGTGGTCTAGACTGAAAGTATAAACTGTTCCAAGAAAGCTGGATGTCAGGAGTGGCTTGTAGATGGAGTAACTGCATGCGCTATTACGGGAAGCAGGGGCTGCTGGAGGGGCTGGAAGGGGTCGGGTTGCCCGCCGCAGGGAGCACGGGGCCGGCAGAGGGGGGTTTTTGATCTTCCTGTGTTCATTCTTCGCTGTATGAGCAGGGTCCAGTGTGTTGGGTCCCCCCACGCCCTCCGCCCGGGGACACATTCCTCCTGGTCATCTCCGTTTGCCCAGGGAGGGGAAGGCCAGGTTTCCAGATGAGCGCTTAAAAGGTTTTTCTGTTAATGGGGCAGTTGGCAAAAGGGTGGGGGAAAGAGGAACCCTGTTTGCCTTGATTCCCAGCTCTACGGGCAGTGTTTACTCAGTCTCAGCAGTGTGCTGAGCTCTGGACGCTGCTGGGGGTACGGGCAGATGCCGGGCAGGGAGTCTGCGGCTGCTCGTGGGGGGCCCACCTTCTGCTTAAGCCTGAATTTGCTCAGCTGGGAGATGGATAACGGTCCCAGGCTTGCTGTGGGGACCAGCGTGCCTTTGCAGGCTGTGTTTCTCAAGTCTGCTTCTCAGGATGGAAAAAGCTGTGGCTCACTGTATAGATGGCACCATTCAATCCTAGGTATTGAGCACCTACTGTGTGTCAGGCTTGAGCTAGTCATGGGCACAGTGGGCTAGCTATCTGAATTTAAAGTGCATAGGTCTGAAAAGCAGTCTGCTCTGTCTCCATTCCTTTGTCCTTCTTTATGAAGGTAGCTGTTCCCTGAGGAAAGAGTTGTCCTCTGACTGCCAGTTTAGTAAAAACCAGGGAAGTGGTGAATGTATAGTACCGTTCTCAGGCCAATAATAGGGGCCCCTTCCCGGGACACAGGAAAACAGTCCCCTTTGAGTGGCCAGTGTTACCCAAGGTCTATTCTCTTGCCAGGCCGAAGGTGACACCCCCTCCCACCCCCCAGCCCTGAACTGTTGCAAGTGATTGAAAGTGGCCATCTGTGATGAATGACAAAGTCTTTTTCTCCCCCAGGAGAAGGGCTGGCAAAAGCGGGTTAACAGTGACTGCACTGGAGCCCAGAGCTTCAGCTCACATCGCCCCAGAGGGCAGAGGGCAGGAGCAGAAGCGAGCCTGAGCACGCCTGGGGGGTGCCACGCACGGTGAGGATGCCTGCAGCCTGAAGACACTGAGATGACTGAGTACCACCGGGCCAGCCATGAGTTGAAACAGCCTCTCCTCCGGCGCTGTCACAGTCCATGAGGAGATGCAGTGGTAGCAAGACTTTTTCCGGATGACACTTGGGTCTATTATGGGAACCGAAGTTAGACGATAAGAAAAGCCAAGTGTCACCCAGAAACCCCACATCGACTGCTTCCAGACTTCCCCTGGGAGCTGTCCCCCAGTGGTCAGATGGAGCCCCCTTTCCACCCCCACCCCCACCCGCTCCCCCCTCATTTGACAAATGAAATGTAATTAGGAGAAAAACAGAGTACTCAGAGAATTCATTGATTTCATCCGCCCCGATGCTCCACTCTGAGTACATTGAAGTTCCTTGAATAACTCAGAGAAGATTGTTGAATTATAGTGTTTGCTTGTGATTCAGAAGCAGAAATTTTTCCAAATGTCTTAGCAAGAAAATGACATCTGAGGGGCCATTATGAGTGAGTCAGCGGGTGTGGGCAGATCATCAGATGAACTGAGCTCTGCTTTCTTGTCCTCTGCTTCGATGTGTGTTCTTACTGTAAAAGAAAGTTCTGGGAAGAAGAATTAAGTAATTATAAGAGAAAAGAACTGGAAGAACGTTGCTGTTTTTCCTTAGGCCAGGCTGCCAGGCTTCACGGAGGAGCCTTAGGCTTTCTCCCCCAGCCCAAGCGCGGTATCGTACCCACACCACGCCGGCCTCCCTGGGCTGCTGTCCCTCCCTTTCCAGCCTCCGAGCCCAGATATGGAAATGCTGTGCCATCCCTTCAGATACAACTAGGACCAGAGTCCTGGGCTGTGGCACCTCTGATGCACAAGAGGAAACACGCACACGCACATGCACATGCACACACGCACACGTGCCCCCCTGAACCGCTGTGATCCTGAAGGTGTACAGACACATGAACCTTCCCCGAGCCTCTCCCATCGCCCAACGTGTGCAGTTTCTGATAAGCAGCATCCTGCGGCAGAAACAGAGATAAGCATAATACGGCCAGGCTCCTGGAGCTGAAATCAAACAAAAGTACACACTTCGGCAAGCCCAGTGTTTGTCCAAGAAATCTCTGTTGTACATGTCTCAGAAATCCATCCGTTTATCCACAAATATTGGCTGAGTGCTCTGCTGTTTGGGGAGCTCGCGGGGCCTGGGGTAACTGGGGGACATGGGCCCTGCACTCCGGGGACACAGAGACATGGTAGTACTTGTTCCCTTCCCACTGGTCATTACCAAATTCTCTGCCACCTCATTCAGGCTCCTTGCAGGTGGGTGATGATGGTTCTCTCCATTTTGCAGAATAACCAGAGGCTTGGAGAGGTAATCGGCATGTCCAAGTGCCAGGCTAACATGGCGGAACCAGACACGGGCCACAGGTCCTCGGACCCCTACATCTGGGGGTCCAGTTGGAGGTGTCAAGAGCCAGATAGCCTCCAGCTGGGCACCCGAGAAGCCTAGACTGCTGATCTCACCTTCCTCCTCACCGCTGGCCCATGCCTGGGTCCTGCCAGCCCTACCTCTCGGATAGGTGACCCCCTGTGTCCCCTGCCACTGCCTCTCCAGCGGCACTCCTATTCCATCACCACCAGCAATCCTGACCACAACCACAGTAGCTTCTAACTGACCACCACTCTCGCCTCCTTCCATTTCATCCTCCCCCTGGCCACCAAAGGGATCTCGAAAAACATAAATCAGATCTCGCCGGCCGCCCTTCAGGAAACTAGCTGCCACCAGGGTAAAACCACCCCCTCACCCCCTCTTACCACAGCTGATATGTGGTTGAGATCCTTGATAGGAAAACACCAGTGAGGGGCGTGGAGGAGGGGGGGAACCTAAGGAGGCTGGGGTGCAGGCCTGCCCTGAAGATGGAGAGAAGGAGAGGTGGGCGGGAACGAGGCAGAGGGGTCCGGCCTTGGATGGCAGAGCCAGCAGCTGTGCTCCCTGCAGCCCGGAGGTCTGAGAGGCGTGTTCAGGGCCACCTGAGAGCTCTCCACTGACCGCACCCTGCCTACCTCTCTCCAGCCATCTCTGCTGCCACACTCCCCACCAAGTTGGTCAACCCCAACCAAGCGTGTGCGTTTCAAGGACTCTGCAGACTCTTCCTTCTATTTAAGCAGTCCAGCATTTTCCACGGCTCTGTCCTCATTTAATGTCAGCTCACTGGAGAGCTAAGAGAGCTGCCCCAGGCCAAGCTCCCCAGGCCCCTGCCGTCCTTAGCCTTCCCCCACTTGATCCATTCCCAAGCCCTTTCTACTTCCAGGGTCTGTTCCTTTATCCACACAGCCCCTCACTGGGATGTAAGCTCCCTGCAGGCAGGGACTTAGCACTGCCGTATCCCCAGGCCTGGGACAGTAGATTGGCATATACTAGGTGCCCCACACATGTCTGCTGACAGCCTGGCTGTAGAGAGCCAACCGAGTGGACCAGGTGAATGACCACGGCCACTGAAAGAGTTCATGGGCCAGCCCCCAGGTGGGCCATATGTTACGTGCTAGGCCGTGGCTGGCATGCTCTGAAGGCACTGCTGACGGGCCACCCTCATCAATGTGACCCCAGGGAGCCACGTTCCCTCCCAAGCAAGTGTGTGCAGCCAGGAGGGGGTTTGGGGACGATGGCGCCTGGGGACGGCAGCTGAGTCGACCGCACACCTGACCCGCCCCATTGCAGGCCTTCGCTGCAAAGGCCTCTGGGAGTCAGCTGGAGCATTCGACCCAGTGGGCACGTGGTCCTCCTGGGGGAGCCCCTACAGCGGCAAGGAAGCCAAGCTTGCCTCCTGAGCACCATCAGCATCCATCAAAACAAACGCCGGTTTCCAGGATGTGGCTAAACTCAGGAACGTGGGATAATCGGAAATGTCTGCAGCTTGCTGGTAGGAGCCAGACAACATGGCATGAAGGAACAGAGAAAGAGGATTTTGAGGCAATTCCACAGTAAACAAAAACTCAGCCCGTATTCTTCTCCTGCAGGTTGGGCGAGTGGGCCAGCCGTGGCCTAACTAAATTATGTGTGTTCTTTATCAAGACGAGGGGGAAAGTCAACCTCATTTTTAGAATTGATTAGATTTTTACATCATGGCCTTGGATCACATGTGTGCCAGGAGACTTTATGGGATTAAAAAAAAAGGCAGGGGGGGTGGTGACTAGATTCAAACCTGCCACCCACAAGCCTTGTGCTAAGTACAGGTCTCTTGACCTCTCTGGAGCTTAAATTTTCCCACTCGTAAAATGGGGCGATAACATCTGACCTCACCTCACAGGGTTTCGCCAACATCAAATGAGGAGAGACGCTTCCCAGACTGGAGACTATTCTAGAATGTCGCTGTCTCTGCTTTTAAGCACCACTGGAGAGCAGGTACTACTCGGTTACATCCGGGAAGAAAATCCCAGGGCACAAACGAGGTCGGCTTCCAGGAAGAGGACTTTATAGTGGTTTCAGGAGAGACTCCGAGTCTCAAGTACCTACGAGATGTGACCCAGACGGACGGCGGGGGCACACAGCTTAGGAAAGCGCTGTGAGCACCAAGCTCAGGCAAGGAGGGACTCAGAGGTGAGCCAGCTGAGGGGCCCCCTCCCGCTCCTCCTCCATTCCAGGCCACAGGAGATAAGTCACAAATGCCCTCACAGGCACCAAGGGACCCAGTTCCCAGGTGTGCAAAGTCCCGGCCGGAAGCTACCACTCAGGTGCATTGGCTTTGAAGAGAGACAGGCAGGCAGGGCGGCCAGTCCGGCAGGTTCTTTGGTGTATTCTTCCTCTCCCTGAGCTGCAGCTGCCTTTATCTGTGTGCCCTCCAGAGAGCTCCCCGGGCCAAACACCCTTCACTAATAGCAGCGCACCTGCCTGTGCTCTGACTGTGGCCAAAATTGGGGCTGCGTTGGTCGGTGGCTGCCCACCTGTCAGAGCCGTCAGCCAGGTGGACGTGCACCCATCCACTGAACACGGCTAAGTTCAGTGGTGAAGAAAGGGCCCCGGGTCTGCTTGGCTTCGCGTGTCTGACCCGTCACGGGCTGAAGAGGCAGAGTGTGTCACCTCAGTCCTCACCCGTTTCTTGCCTTGAAAGTTGTGGTTTCAAATGTCTAGTCTCCTCCTGCCCGATTTTCCCATCACTTTGAGTTTGAGTTGCTTCTTTGTCAGGGGAAGCCCAGCACTCCACAACTTGTCAACTCCAGATGTCCTATCCATTATCAGCCTGAAAGTGTCACCATCTCTCCCTGCATTTACCCTGCATGCCACAGGGTTGAACGACCTTCCCACCCCCGCCCTGGCCCTTGCCCAAGGCCCTGGCTTCTGGAGGCCAGGTGATCAGGCAGGCCTGTAGGTCCCGCAGCAAATAAACTGTGCAGCCCAAGCGCGGGAGCCCCCTGAGCACGGGGCCCTGTGTGACTGCAGGTCACCTGATGATGAGCTGGCAGACGCCACGGGTTACCAGCAGCTGACTTCCAAGAAGAGAAACGGCACTTCCAAGGGTGGAGCTCGTGACTACACTTTACCTCAGTGATAGCTTTTCAGGAACAAGGACGAAAACTTCTGGGCTGCTAAAGTGATGTGCTTGGCCTCAGGGGCCTCGCCTGCTCTGACAGGCATCCCAGCCCTGCAGAGTTCCCATGGTCACCTCAGCGTTTCCAAAGGTGGCCACAGAAATTGCTGGAAGTCCAGGAGGGAGTCATTTGGATTTCTGATATCTGGCTGGGCTCAGGCCAAGACGAGGACCCTTTTATTGGGGAAGAGCAGGACAAGCTCACCTGGAGATCCTGCAGTAAAGGTCTGGGAGGCCCCACAACAAAATGCCCGGACCCTTTTCTTATAAGATGGGGAAGGCCGTTTTGTGGCATGAGGAGCAGAAGGGAGAGACAGTCTTCAGTTATGAAATCGAGGCCGGGGGTCCCACTTCTGCTTTCGGTTCCCCATCTGACTAGGAAGAATTTTGTTAGGAAATCTTTTCAAACATCTTTGGAAGCCGGAAAGCTGAACCAACGATTTCTTTGCCAAATGACGTTCTCTTTGGGGGTATTCGTGGCCTTCCTTCTCCGGCGTGAAGGGTGAACATCTCTCCAGAGGACCGGGGCCCTAGGGAAGTGGGGTTCAGAGAGCCAGGCCAGGGCCTAATTCTGCAGAGACAGTGGCTTCCTTCCAGGACCGGGGAAGACCCCAGCCCCATCGGGGACATCCTGGGCTCAGGTGGGATGTGGGGACAGGCAGCACCTCTCAGGGCCCAGGATGCTAAGAATCAAAGGCCGGGGGGTGGCCATTCAGACCCTGCAGTCCCCACCCCAGGTCCCAGGGCCCCTCAAAGTCTGACAACGACGTGCTCAGTCAAGCCACCAAGCCACGTGGCCAGTGGCGGGTCAGGTCTGGGGTCCGGCGCCGAGCCAGGCTCACGACCCCGAGTTCAGGCCCCTCCCCCGCCCGCGGGCGGCGGCGGCTCGGCCGGGGCGGCCGGGCGGGGCGGGGTCACCGGGGGTGGCAGCGGGGCCCCGCCCCGGGGGTGTGTCCGGGCGCACGGACCGGGGCGCGGGCGGAAGGGCGCCGGGTGCGGGGTCCGGAGCGGGGTTCGAGTCAGGCCCCGGAGCGGGATCCGGAGCGGAACCGGGCGCGGGGGCCATGGCGTCGTCCGGGCCGGCGGGGCCGCTGCTGCTGCTGCTGCTGCTCGTGCTGCTGGCGGGCGCGGCGCGGGCCGGCCTCCACTTCCGCCCGGGCCGGGGCTGCTACCGGCCCCCGCGCGGGGACCGGCTGTCCAGTCTGGGGCGCAGGTCAGCGCCGGCTTGGGGAGCTTCTCGCGCGCTCCTGCCTTTTGGGGACCCTGCCTCCTCCTTGGGGTGCCAGCAACCCAGGCACCCTGCCTCCCTTGACCTTCGAGGGTCAAATTGAGCACCTTTGTTTTGGAGGTCACTCTTGGCTTTCACATCCAGGGGAGCCCTGGTGTTCGCAGAGCTGGACCAACCCCCACTTTCCTGTCACTTGGAACAGTGCTTGGGGAGCAGTAAGGTTCCTGCTTTGGGTGGTGTCCCGCCTCCATCACATTCTGAGAGGGCTGGGGTCTCCTGGTGTGAGACAGACTCACTGCCACCCCCTCTCATTTGGGGGAGGCGGGGGCCCTAGGGAGCCCTGCCTGTGTCTGCTGCCCGTGAGGCCCAGTGCTGATTCTGTGGGTGCTGGTCTCTTCCCAGGACATACCCCCGGCCTCATGAGTACCTGTCCCCGAAGGACCTGCCCAAGAGCTGGGACTGGCGCAGCGTGGATGGGGTCAACTACGCCAGTGTCACCAGGAACCAGCACATCCCCCAGTACTGCGGCTCCTGCTGGGCGCACGGCAGCACCAGCGCCATGGCGGGTAGGTGGGGGCCCGCTGGCCCCGTGACTGCGGGCCTGGAAGGCCTGTCCAGCCTGTTCCTTGTCAGCGCTGGGGGCCGCAGCCCGGGCTCCCCAGGGCCTGTTAGTCCATGCCAGGGCTCAGCCTGAGATGGGGGGGGGGTGGTCCTGAGCTGTGCCCCTGCTGCCCCAGACCATCAAGGAAGGCCGAGTGGCACAGGCTGGGTCGCCGCTCCGCTCTGCGGGGTAGGCCGGCCTGGGGCCCATCAGTGGCAGGCAACGCTAGCACTAGAGCCCAGTGACGAGTGGCTCCCGGGTTCCTCTCCCAAAGTTTGTGAACCCGGCCATTTGGGATCAAACCAGAAGTGCAAATTCCCCGAACTCCCTGCCAGTGTTTGGGATGGAAGTGAAACTGGTTTTTAGCCGCAGTTAACGTGTGAGGTGAATGCCTGTCCTGGCCTTGGAGCATGAAGCGAGGCTGGCCCTGTCCCTTATCCGGGGGACCTTCGCTGTCTGGCCAGTGAGGAAGGAGAAGCAGCTGAGGCCGGTCCCGCTGGGAAGGCTGTGGAGCCTGGCCTTGGGAGGGGAGGGGAAGGGCCGGCTTCACCCCAGTGGAGCCTTCGTCCAGCCCAGGCCCACCTGGGAGCCTGTGGGAGGGGCTCTGCCATCTCCAGGGGCAGCCCTGAGTTCCAGGAACCTGCAGTCACATTGCAAGTCCCTTGGGCTGGGGGCACTGTCTCCTCCCTCAGCGGGCAGGCCTGCTGTAGGTGGGCATCTGGCGGGGTCGCCCTGGTGGCCTCGCCGCATCTCCTTTTGAGGACAGATGAGGAGACTCCTGGGGGCTGGCGTATACACCTGACCCTTCAGGAAGGAGGAGAAACGGGGCAGGTAGGCTGAAGCCCCATTTGAAGGTACAGGAGCCCTGCAGGGAGCTGCAAAGGCCGGGAGATGGACAGGGCCAGAGGCTTAGCCACTGGAACCGCTGGGAGAGATGGATATGGGCAGCCTCAAGGCAGAGTCAGGGCAGAGGCCAGGCAGGCAGGCAGGCAGGAATGGTGCTCTGGCTGAGGAAGTGAAAGAGGGCCTTTGCGGCAGGGCCTAAGTGTGGGGGAGGGGCGCGGGGAGCGCTGAAAGGTCACCAGGGGCTCTGCCCCCAGGGAGGCTTGAAGGAACTTAGAGAGGGAGTCTTATGCCACGATTTGCATTTGTAAGACTGCAGAACTGGGAGGGGATGGCTGGAGGCGATCGCTTTTCAGATGGGTCAACCCTGCCACAATTCTGGAAGGGGATTTCTAACCTGGGCAGAGAGACTGCGTCGCTCTCTTTCTCCTCAAACCTCTAACATTTTCCCCACTAGCAGGGCCCTTCTTCCTCTTTTCACTGAGAAAATACGTGTAGAAGCCCCCAGAAGGGGATTTCCGCGGGCGCCTGGCCCAGCCGCCCCCTAACTCAGCCGGCCATAGTTGGCATTCCCTCCTGTCCCTGGGCGTCTAGCACCTGAGCCCCTTGCCCAGGCCCCTCCTCCCTGTGCTTGGACTTGGCCATGACTGTGAACAGGCGGGCAAGGGCTTGACCCCACCCTGCCTCCAGCCACCACCCCACTGCTGGGCTCCCGGAAGGGGCGTCTGCACTCCACGTTTCCTCTTCTCCACCCTTGAACCCACTCCAGCCTTCACTTCACCTCCCACTCCACAGGCACCGTCCTTGCCAAAGTCACCAGCAAGGGGCCCTCATGCTGGCAGGTCCAGTGCTCAGGCCCTGGGCCTCTTCCTCCTGGGCTGTGCTTGTCCAGTCCTCCTTGTGACGCAAGGAAAGGCCCGACTCCTTCCTCTTCCTCGAAGCTCCTCATCCTCCCAGCTTCACTAATGAAGGTCTGGCTCCCAGGACTGAGTCCTTGGCTGCACCCAGACCCTTCACCCGAACGACAGCTTTAGACCCAGTTGTCCCTTCTCCCTCTCGCTTAGACAACTGAGCCCTCAAACCTCATGTGTTCAGATCTGAACGCCTCGTCCTTCCCACCACCACCCTCACCTCTGTCGACGTAAAAATATCCAAACCTGGAGAGGATTTTTCTAAGAGTTTATTTGAGCCCAAACTGACAATTGCCGGGAAGCAAGCTCTCAAATGCTCTGGAGGACAGTTTGCAGCTCCTTTTCTGTGTTGGGAATTAAGGAGGGGCGTGAGGAAGAGTGGGGGTGGGAGAAAGCAAGGCGGGGATGGGATGGCAGGATAGTTAACAAGGTCTTGTGCTCTCTTGAGGGTCTGAAAAGAGGCATTTCAAAGGTGTGCTCATCTAGGTGTACAAGAACAGGGCTGGCTGAAGGCAAAGATAAACCATTTACTAAAAAGATTATATGCCTGGGGCGTGACTACCCACCATGACCTGCCCCGTTAGGAATTCATGGTCAGACTGTCCTGTGAGGTGACTTCCCGTAGAACCCCTTTTTCGCCTACACCTCCAAACCTGGTCCTTCTCCGGTCCTCCTTGCCTCACACAATGAAAACATCATCCATTCATCCAGTCACTCAGGCACAAAAGCCTGGAGTCTTGCCTGAGTCCTCTAACTTCATATCCCTCGTACAATCTGGTGGCAAATCTTGTCGGCTCTGCCTTCAGACTATCTTGCCAACTCCGCTGCTTCTTGCCCCCTGCACCGCTACATGCCGGCCTGAGCCCCTGCCCTCCCCTGGCCTCGGCGTGGAGCTGTTAGGCTGGTCTCCCTGCCGTTTGGTCACAAGCAGCTAGACCGAGCCTATTCAAACCCAGGTCGCGTCACGTTTCTGTTCTGCCTCAAATCCGCTAAGATTTCATGCAGATGAGACCAAAATCCTCCCCTGACCTATGAGAGTTCGTGTAAGCTGCTCCCTAGTCTGTGTCAGGACCCAGTGTGCATGCCGGGGGCTGGGGCACGGGAGGGACCTTGTCACACCAGGCACCTGCTCTCCCAGACCTCCCTCCCATGGGTGCCACCTCAGCCTGGGGCCCAGCCACCCTCTCTACCCACCTGGAGTTCTCTCCCCGTTTCCCTCAAAGCACTGTACTCTGACATTTGTTGATTGTCCCTTGTGCCCCACCACATGGCCTTCATGTGGTGAGAAGCTTCTGTCTGCCTGGAGGTGGGCCAGGGCCTGAGGGAGGGAAGGGAGGGTGGTGGCCCAGAAAGGGCCACCTGCTCACCGTTACCAGCAACAGCACAGGTGAGGCTGCAGTGAGTTCTAACGTGGGGGCGGGAGCACGAGGTGGGGCCGTGAGCTCACACCTGGCAGGGGTATGAGATTGTGAAATCACCTTGGGACAGTGGAAAGTGAGCTGATGGGAGCTGTGGTAGGACTGGCTGCAGCGCCGGCAGAAGCATGTCAGTGGGTCCCAGGTGGGTGCAGTGGCTGCTTGCAGCTGTCCCTGGCTCCCCACAGTGAGACATGGACCCGGCCTGTGGGCAATGAGAACGTCACCCTGACCAGCCCCTGGCTGGCTGCTCGGAGTCCTCCCTCTGACCCCCAGAGCCCACAGGGGCTGAGTCCCTGCCAGCCTTCCCCACGGGGCCTTGTGGGTCCCCTGGCTCACTGCCTGGAGGTCCTGGGCTGCGCTGGCTCATGGGGTGCCCTCCAGTGCCTGTTCCTGCCTCTGTCAGCTCTTCAGCCGGCACTTATGGGGCATCTGCAGCTCGATAGGACAGGCCTGGCCTTGCCCTCGTGGCACTTAGAGTCCACATCAGGGCCAGGGAAGGGCCAGAGGAGGCCTCCTCCAGGAAGTCTGTGGACAGGGCCCTCCAGAGAGGGACATGTGGCGGCCGGAGCAGCGGGCAGGGCAGGGTGGGTGCTGACCCTCCTGGGTGCTGCCTTGCAGATCGGATCAACATCAAGAGGAAGGGGGCGTGGCCCTCCACCCTGCTGTCGGTGCAGAACGTCATCGACTGTGGCGAGGCTGGCTCCTGCGAGGGGGGCAACGACCTGGAGGTGTGGGAGTACGCCCACAGTCATGGCATCCCCGACGAGACCTGCAACAACTACCAGGCCAGGGACCAAAGTAGGAACCCCTACCACCCTGCCCAGGGAAAGTGCGGCCCGAGCCCAGGCCAGCCCATGCTCCACTCAGGTCGGGTGCGGGGGGGGGGGGGGGAGGCTTGCACCCTGTGGGTCTGGGGGAGCAGGAAGCTGGAGCCCGCAGGCCTTGTTGAGAATCCCAGGGAGGCCTGGGGAGGGGTGTCTCCAGCCCTGTACCCCTGTGGCCGGGCCTGGCCGTGGTTCTGGGCTCTGACGTGTTGGCGTCTTGGTGGTTCCGTGGGCTTTTTAGGAGAGGTGCAGGTGGCCCTCATTCAGGGGAGTAAGTTTTCCAGGAGCCAGGTGGGGAGAGCTGGCAGGTTGCTGCCCCGAACTGGAAGAAGCAGGCTCGGCGGGAAGAGCGTCCCAATGGCCTGGTTCCCACCCCATGACCCCGGGCTGCATGCATTCAGGTGGATCTGGGGCCGAGGGGCCGTGGCATGGACCAGCAGACTCAAGCTGGCCTGGAATCGCTGGAGTTGGCACATTCCTTTCAGGCTGCTCCCCTTGGAAACGAAAGAAAATGTCCAAACCCTAAGCCCATAATTGGCAGTTTCAAGTCACCTGCCTCTGTCAGCGCTCCTTCCTAGCTGGAGCAGAGTGCTGGGACGAATTCACAAGGCTGTTTGAGATGGGAGGGGGTGAGGGCAGGGGGAAGCCCAGGCGCTTTTCCACCCCCCATCTGTAAAAGTGCTCGCCCAGGCCCCTGTGCCCTCTGAAGCGGCACAGCATGACGAGGCACCATCCCGCACCCACAGGCAGGGTCCTCAGCTTGCCTTCCTGAGCCATATTGCCCAGCCAGAAAGAATTCCCCCGGACTGGTTGGGCGAGTCTTGTTGAAGTGGTAAACGCAGCAGGGGTCAAGAGAAAGCCAGGAGAGGGACAGATGGAGGCGGGAGGGAGTGACCGCTAGGAACCAGGAATCAGGTGGTCCCTGGGGCCACGGCCTGCTCAGCTCAGCCCTGAACTGGTCTCGTCCAGCCTAGGCCAGGCCCCTCTAACCCCCCTCGCGTGACGGCCAGATGGAGCTCACTGGGAACTTAACTGTTTGCAATAAATAGTCTGGTCTTTGTATTAGCAGATGTGGCCACAGATCCAGCATTTTCCAGTTGTACTGGGCACTGGGCATTTGGTGGCCAAGGGGCACATCCAACCAACAGTTTAATCCTCCAGGAGTTTATAGTCCTGGGGGAGGAACCTGGACAGATGAAAAACCATGACAGTAACAGGTCAGGTGGAAGAGTAAAAAGACCGGTCACGGGCCGGAGAACGCAGTGACGGATGGTGTGGAGCCTTACGGGACAAAGAACTAAAACTGTTTTGTTGTAGCCTAATTCTTGATACCACTTCAATCCAAAATAATTAGGAAATGCTATTCCCCCCACCTCCCCAATGATTGGCCTATTCACTGGCCAGCCATAGAATCACCTTAAGAGCTAATAATTTAGTTATACTCTATTTTCAGCTCTAAGAGGATTGTGAAAGGGCCTTTCTCCAGGCCTTTAAAGGAAAAGAAAAAAAGGCTATCTTCTGAGGGCCTACTGTGCGCTGATCAGCGTGCATCTCTCCTTCCCGCCAAGGCCTGGGGTAGGGCTTTTCCTCACTCCTTTGCAGCTGAAACAACGGCATAATTAAGGAAGCAGCACCTGATGCCAGATGATGTCCGTGATTAGCTAAACGAGGCAGAGGAGCGTGGAGCTGGGTGTGCTTGTCCCTGGGTTGATGAGGGGGTGGTCTCACACTGACTTTCCCCTGCCCCCTCCCCCAGAGTGTGACAAGTTTAACCAATGTGGAACCTGCACTGAATTCAAAGAGTGCAGCCCCATCCAGAACTACACCCTCTGGAAAGTTGGCGACTACGGCTCCCTCTCCGGGCGGGAGAAGATGATGGCAGAGATCTACGCGAAAGGCCCCATCAGGTGAGGCGCCCTGGTGGGGGGGTGCGGGCCGCGGCCTCCACCGCTGTCCTTCTGGCCGACGCCCCGTAGGCTGGAGACAGCTGCACGTGAGTTTAATCCGAAGTAAAGCAGAGCTGACCAGTGGGCCCGCAGGGTGCTTGTGAGTGAAGGCCACGCGTGGGAAGGGCCCTGGGCTGCAGGAGTGCCGTGGGGCTGCGGGGACTGGCCACCAGTGAGGAACAACAGACGTTTAGGCAGAGCCACTTCATGTACCTTGCGACTTGAGTTTACAGCCATTTCCATCCAAGTGCTGATGCTGTAACTGCTTGCTCTCAGCTGCGGCATCATGGCGACAGAGAAGATGGTTGCCTACACCGGCGGCATCTACGCCGAGTACCAGGAGAAGGCCTACATCAACCATATCATTTCCGTGGTTGGGTGGGGCGTCAGCGATGGCACTGAGTACTGGATCGTACGGAATTCATGGGGTGAACCATGGGTAAGACGTTCCCACTGACCCTGCTGTCACTGATGGCTGTTGGCTGGGGAGCCAGGGACTGGCCCCGGAGCACTAGTGCCCTTTGGGGTCAGGTACTTGGGCTGTGTGGGGGCTGTCGCTGTCCTGCGCATTGCAGTGTGTGTAGCAGCATCCCTGGCCCCAACCCACCAGATGCCAATAGCACCTTCTCCCTGTCCCCCAGTCGTGACAACTAAAAATGTCCCCAGACATTGCCACATATCTCCTGGGGAGACGCACCGCTTTAGAAGTTTTGGTTTAGTTTATTCTTTTACAACCACCTCCTTCTTTTTCTTGTCAGTTTCAGCTCCTAAGCAATACTGTGTAATTTTTTCAAAAATACTTTTGAGTTGGGTCAAAAATCCAGGAGAGGTAAACTGCCAGAATTTTAATTTTCTAAAACCTAGTATGAACCATGAAGTTGGACACAGAAATTCCATTATTATGAAATGGAAGGGGGGGAGTGATTAATGTAGAAGTTATGAAATGTCAATTTTTTTAAGTCAGATGACTACAAATGGAGACACGAATGGCAAGTGAAGTCATCTGGTCCAGAGTCTACGTTTTTTTTTAGTTATATTAACTAGCTTTTGGCACTCAGGGCCCTGTACCCCTCGTGTTAAATATTAACCAAGTTAAATATTTCACAGAAGGTATTTCCAAGCAGGGGTCCCGAAAGGGAAGCAGCAGTCGAGCAGGGGGTTTGGGGCTGAGAGATGAGGCGGAGAGGGGGTGGGCCTGCGTGTGGCTGGGGGGAGCAGGGGACTGTGGCTGAGAGCTGACGCACCCCCATTTCTCACAGGGCGAGCGAGGCTGGATGAGGATAGTCACCAGCACCTATAAGGACGGGAAGGGCGCTGATTACAACCTTGCCATCGAGGAGAACTGCACATTCGGGGACCCCATTGTTTAAGGCAATCATCTCCACAAGAGCAGCTTAAGAAGGATGCCGCGAACCATGACCAGAGGGGATCCTGTCCTGTGGGCACTGGGTTGGTACTGCCAGGGTATGAAGGAACTGGGGGCAGAAAGTCAAGCCAAATTGATATCCAGCAACTGGTACGGGCACTGGGCACCTCAAAGGAACGCCTGTCAAAATGCCAACGACCGACGCAGTTCTGGCTGAGTGTAGCTGAGAGGCATCTAACGTGGGACGACGTAGACACCGGCACAGGACGCTCCCCTGCACGGTGACTACAGCAGACCACCTGCCCGGCAAGGAAGTGGCCTGGGCAGACCGCGGTCAATCTCGTGCCCTCCACTGTCTTCAGCTGATGGTTTGGTATTTTCTATGATGCGGCCTTCACCACCAGTGCTTATGTCACCTTGGAATCAGTGGGGGGTGGAGGGAGAGATGGCAGTTTCAAGTCACCCCAGTGATGAATAAAATACACGCCTTCACAGGAGAACAGCCTGAGTGAGCCTCATTTATACACGAGAACACCTTTCTATACCTTTCAGCCCAGTAGAAAGGCTTTTATTTGTTCTTGGAAAATGAAAGCAATTACAATAAAATATCAGCTAATCAGGTTCTTGTGAGAAAACTAAGTCAGCTTTGAAGGTAGTTCATTTAAGTGTCTCAGTTTCGGACTCCCCACCACCCTTGGGGCTGAGAGCTGGCTCTGTCCGGAGAGGTAACGTGAACCTGGGCCCCATGTTGGGGGACTGAAGACGGTAAGCAGGACTTACAAGAAGGACAGGGGGCTGTTCGTAGTAGCAGCTTTTCCCGTATACTGCTAACATTTTCCTTTTTAAGCAGTTCTCCACCTCCTCCCCCCAGAACACATTTCCAAGGTGATGAATGAACCTCTTCAAACAACTTTCTGGAATGTTCCACCTCAGCTCTGGAGGGTGCTCTAAATTAGTTCACCAGGATGAAGTTAGACTTGCAGTGAGCTTTAACAAACAGAAGGAAAAGTCGCAGGATTAGAAACAGGAGGTAAAAAAATGCCATTTAAAATTGTAGCTAAGGGACAGTCATGTCAACCTTACCTACAAATTCTGTCACAGGGTCGTGTTCGCCTTCCGTTTTAATGGTGCCTGCGATGCTGTCGTTTTCCAGGATGGGGAGGAAAAGCTGCACGAAGTCAGAGGTGTACGGAGGGGCTATGACGTCCAGGACCTACGGGGACGGAGAGCAGGCTGACGGGCAGGAGGGCAGCTGGGAGGACCCCCCTCCCCGCCTCTGGCTTCCTGCTCACAGCCATCTCCATCATTAGACCCCCAGGGGATAATGTAGGTAAAACACACAAGACAGTTCCTACAGGTAGGAGGTGCCCACTGTCATCAGCATGACTATCAGAAAGCACAGTTCTCAGAGTTGGGTACGAAATGAACTAAGTTAAGCCAAAAAGGGCACTGCTGGGGGAAGCAGAATGAAACATGAAACGAATGGCGTGTTGCTGACCTCGGTCACAAAATAGCGAATGAGTGAAATGTCAGTGTCCAGCTTCTCCAGACACTTTCGGATGTAACTGACAACAGGAAGTACATAACCTCGACTCAGCAGGTGAACCATTCTGTCCAGCAGGGTCTTCTTCAGCTCGAGCTGCAAGAGTGGGGGCAGAGGGCTGTGAGGGGGGCCTCCCTCCGCGGCACACGCCCCGCGGGCCGCCGCTCACCTGCTCCATCACGTCCAGCTGGGAGTGCTCAGTCTCAAAAAGCTTAACAAGCAGCTGGAGGACCTGGGGGTGCAGAAGCTGGTGGCAGGTGCAGATCTGCAAACAGGCCAGAGGGAGCCTGGCTGAGCGGGCGCTGTGCCGGGTGTCAGCTCACCATCAGCACAGGGGACCGCGGTCCTGGTCACAGCCACCAAAGACCTGCTCGCTGCCAGCAGTGGTCCGTAACATTTGTCCCAGAGCCGGGCAGCTTTTGTGCCACTCCTCATCCTTTCAGGGACACTTGACAAAAACTAAGAAATCTACAGTCAGTGCAAATAGTTCCTTAAAATGAAAACCCTCCTTTGGTATAGACATAACTAGCTTTGCAAAAAGTGTCTTCTGAGCTCATTGAAGTGCTGGCAACACAGGCCTAAGAGGACGAGGTACAGACAGAGCAGCGGGTCCCCGCCTGTCTCGGTCAGCGGGGTTTGGTTACACGGGGCGGGCTGCTGCAGGAACTGAACTCGCGTTTAACCAGTCAGCCTGTGGGAAATGGGTTTTGTTACACGTCGTCTGCCTCACAGTCGCAGAGACAACAGCATTCAGTGGGGACTCCCCGTGCGCTGTGCCTGGCCCTGCGGCCCCTACCTCGTCCAGCAGTGCCAGGTGTACCGGTGTGTGGTCTGTCTGCAGCTGGAAGTACCTCGGTTCTGACACGGTCCAGTCCACCCACTTAAGCACACCCATTGCAACCACGGGAAACCTACAGGCAAATGAGGCAGGATGCTTCCTTTACACAAAGTGTGTCAAGAAACAACCATAACCAAACAGGGTTTCAGAGACATGCTGCAGCCCTCCCGTAACTCCTGCGCTTCCCCGGAGCTGCACGTTGGTGACGCCGGTGTGATGAGGCCGGCACCGTCAGTGCCGTCGGGAACCCAGTCGGCGGGCACTCAGCTCACTGCATGTTCCCGGTTGGCAAGGAAAAGCTCTTGGATGCAAAGCGCCCCGTGAGCCAGGCGGGCCGGCCTGAAGGTGACTCTTCCCTCGCAAACCCTTTCCTTGTCCCGAGTACAGATCAACAGGCAGAGACCCAGAAGCCCAAGAGGACACCCTACTGGTAAGCTTTCCTAGTAAACGCTTATTTACATAATTGGCATAATTGCAAATCATTTCTGCGTAAGCCATACTATTTTACTGTAAATAGGCCCTTTCCTACAAGTCAATGTTTATAATCCTGGTTGGTCTTCCTTTTTCTTAGTCAAATTTCTGAACAGACCTCTGTCAAGTAACACCTGAAAATTACGCTGCTAAAACTGTTTAGTCCTCTATATATGTTCAAAGAAGGAAAAGTAAATAAAATGAATACGTCTTTCTGAAGTCTTTTTGCGCTTTCGAGCTACCTCCTCCCCAAAGGATTCATTTTAGAAATCAGTTTCGCCGTGCTTACCTAATGCACTGATAAAGTGTACTCAGCTCTGCCACCAGCTCAGAGGCCCCTTTGTTCTCATTGCAACACAAATTGTGAACAGTTTCAACAGCTTTCGATGTTGACTTCAGCTCGTCTTTATTGATGCTCGCTCGTTTGTTCTGAAAACACAAGTTGTTGAGTCCGACAGAGCTCCCAGCCTTGTGGTGGGGTGACAGGTAGTGGCCACTTCTCTCTGCAAGCCACCCCCCATCTCTGAAGTCAGGAATCAACTGACTGTCAAACCCCCAGTCGCACAGCACACGGAAACTGACAACCGAGGAGACTACCAGTGTCCCTTCTGTAGTCACAAATTTCAAATTACAGTCTGAGTGAGTAGTACGGATGCTGTGCACATTTTCTTGAGACATTTAGTACTTTGACTATTTTATGGATAAACACTACAAAAGACATTTTGACACTAGATGGGCTCGTGACTTCCTGCAGCCCAACTCCTAGACACTACCAAAGGGGGTGTGCAGCTGTGGCCTCTGGGTCTCGGTACCTTCTTCCAGGTTTCCACCACGCTCGCCGCGTATGCCAAGATGTGGATGTACTTGTGCTTGTGGTCCTGGTTGATCCTGGCCCCTGGTTTGAAGAGTGACTGCATGAACAGGTCCAGGAAGGCTGGCACCCGGATCTGAGGGGAAACACAGAGCGCTGAAAAGGAACGCAGGAGGGAGATGGCGGGTGAGTCCACACACTGCCGCGTGCCTGCGTGCACCCACCCCGGCACGCCCTACCCAGCGGGGGCTCGCATGTGTGCAGGCCCAGCGTGTGACAGCAAAGGACCGGCGGCAAAAGGACAGAAATATTTCACCAGCAACGTCACTCACTGACATCAGAGGAGTAAGGCAAACAGACTCTCCAAAATAACCCTTCCAGTTGGCATGGGGATGTCCCACCTTCTTATTAAACTAGGCAACTTACAAGTTCAACAGGAGGCGGGTCCATGCTTGTAAACATCTTGAACAGGACTGTGATGTCGGCCGGGTTCAGAGCTCCCTTGGACAACATGGCCCCCAGGGCCTGACAAGCCCTGGGGTAGGAGGCAGCTGTGCCCAATGCCAGCGTGATCTGACTGGCATCGTGGCCCCTTGAGGAAAACCATCACGTCCTCCAGTTAACACGGTGGGCCGCATGGGTGGTAACCCCTCCTGTCTCCCTTCCCTCCCTCCTGCCTTCCTTCCTTTTTCCACATGTAATGCTTTGAATTGTTGGGATCCCCTTGGTTTTCATATTTCTGTCATTCACTGGCACACTGACTGACTGACCCAGGAAAACCACATTCAGAGCTAACTGGGAAAGAATGATTCAAATACAGCTCGCAGACCTTCTAAAAGGAAACACACTTGAAATACCTTATTTCTACCATTAGTAGAAAATAAAGACAATAAGAGCTAATTGTGTTCTAAAATATCACTACAATACAGCAAGGAGACCCCGGAACAACTGTTTCAGGATTCCGGCTATGTGCTGTTGATGAATCCCAGTGTGTGAAGGCACAGGCTCATAAACCCAGGGAGCGGAGCAGTCGTCGGCACCTGACAAACACGCATCAGTGCTCTGGAAAGCACGCTCTGCACAGGTGTTGAGCCACCCGGACTGCTCCAGCTCTGCTGCCTAGAAGGCAGTCTACCCAGTGGAAGCAGGGCGATGGGGTGGGGTGGGGCCCCAAGTCGGGGGTGAGCAGCCCCGCCTGTTACCTCTCCTGCGCGAAGCGCTGGACCTCCTGAGCGATCCTGCGGACAGCTGAGCCCCCCTGTTCTTCCTGGGCCAGCACGGACATCATGGCCTGAGCAAACAGGTACGTGTGCTCCCCGTGGCACACCATTTTCTGGAAAATCGCAGGGAGAGAGGGTTTGGGGTGTCACGATTGCAGCAATGACAAACGCAGAGAAAAGACTCAGACGGGGACAGTTCTGCATGAAGGTGTCCCCTGAAAGGGGCCTTCTGACCTGGATGTTCTCTAAAGAAAAGGAGCATTTCATGTTTGAAAATGCTTGACCCCAAACAGCCTCCTTCCAATCCGAGAGAAACAAAGAACTTACAGCAAACTCAGGGAGATTTTTTTCAAGGTTTTCTTCTCCTCCATCCAAAATTGTCGCCAGAGAGGTCCGGAGAACCCTAGAGAACACTTCCAGCTGCTGACAAGCTGTGGACACACTGGTTATTTCCCCTTGGTACCCAGCGTCAGAAATGAGCTACGGCACAAAAACAAGAAGCCAAACGAAGTGTCAACAAGATGTGACCACGCATTTCATAGAAAGTTGGCTTGTTGTCTGTCTGGTGAGATGGACAAGCACTGGTCTCAAACCCTTCCTCTGACCCCTCCTTCGCCTCTAACTAGGTTTGTGGGCCCGGCTAACCACCCATGCCTGGTTTCTTTGTAAGATGAAGGAGACACACCAGACACTCTTCAAGGCTCCTCTCAGGACACCACGGACTCTATCAATATGTTCCTGCCAAATCTCAAAACACCGTCCACATTGATCCAAATTCAGACACAAGCTCTACGCTTTTCTTTCTCAATCTCAGACTAAAGTGAAACGGTGAAGGCTTTTACCAAAAGAGCAAAGGAAAACGACCCCCAGCCACCAGCCCAATGCACCCCTGCTCGTAGACGCATTTCCCTTTCCTCTAACTCTAGTTCTCTTCCTACCTTAACAGTGAAGTTCAGCATCAAACAGTCTGGGTGGGCTTCAGCCAGTTTGTAAAAGAGATCTCTCCACGTGGTATGTGCAATCATTTGTTCAAGCCACGCTGGGGTCTGCCAACAAACAAACAAACAAATAGCCAGGGGCCCAGCTTTGGCTTCCGAGGCGCTTATGCTGTGTAAACAAGCACAGGACCTTCCAGCCGGAAGAACACAGCCCCGCAAGCGTCCAGATCTGGTCCTACAGTCCCAGAGTGGTGACGCCACATGGGTGGCTAACTGGCAGAGCTGGAGCCCTGGACGCCCAGTCACAGCTTCTAGAAGACCCAGCCCTGCATAAGAATACTGAAAGGGCTCCCTGGAGACACTGGAGCCTAGTGGAAGCATGGGTATAGTGGAGCTGCGTCACACGCACACAGTGGACCATGCTCAATCGGGGATATGCGCCCCTGGGGATATGAGAAAAGGGCAATTTAAATAGCACAGGTGGCTCTGTGCATCACCACCTGAGGTGGCATCTCAGCTGTCGTGCTGTCGGGCTGCACCCTGAATTCACCATCACAGTGTGCCAAGGCCAGGCTCCCCACGGGCTGCTGCCACCACTGACTGAGGTGGCAGGGCTCTAAGGCAGGCCTGTTCCTAGGAGACACGGGCTCCAGTGACAGGTGGTTGTGGCCTGAATACTCTGCGGTGACACTGCGGAAGCTTTCTGAAAACTGCACTATCATCTGAGACTCCTACCCAAGCGCCCTCCCTTCCTTCTTGTTTTCAGGGGTCAGACCTCCATCACTGCACCCCCAGCCTCCTCCAGCCCCCACCCATCTTCCCTCCAGGTGTGTCCTCTGTAATCTCCTGCACATCTAATTGTGTCTTGGCAGCTGCTCTGAGGAGGACCCAAAGGAAAACACCACACCATGCGGAGCCTGAGCCCTGGAGTCAGCAGGACGTGGGAGGTGGGAACTGCTGCTCTGCCTCCGACCTCAGCACCTGTGCGCCTCTCCGCATGCAGGATCCCACGACACCGAGGACGCTGCGTGAGGGGCGACTCTGACGCTGCGCAATGTCTGCTCTCACCCCGATTTCAGTCTCCAGCTCTAACGCTACTCAGACTCCAGCGTGCACAGGGAATGAGAAAAGCCCCTAGGAGCTGGCATTAGAGAAAGAAGAGAGTTCTCACCTCTCCTTCCTCGGTAAAAATAGAATCTGCTTTGCGGGGGTCGAAATGTTTGATCAGCAAACTCTTCAGGTGGTTTTCCACAGTTTCCTGAACCTGCACCGGTTCAACCCCTGGAAGAAAAGGGCGCTCTCTCAGTTCGTTGTATGACCTTAGGAAAAGTGGACAGGTCAAATGTCTATGTGTGAGTCAAGTATCACCAAATCGCTTCTGACAACTTCAAATTTTGGACCTCTTATAAGAGTTGATATTTATGAATCACATTCAATGATAAGAACCAAAATGGAGCACAGAGCAGGACACACGAGGATGCTCGACCTTGTCTACATGGAAAGGTCATCTTCAAAACCTCACTAAGGACAAAGACAAATTGCCAAAATAGACAGGTGGGAGGGTGGAAAGACAGACCCCTGCACAGGAGCAGAGGGACACTCGTCCCTAGTCACTGTGACAGCACAACTGGGCTAGTTTCCGGACAGTATGTCATCAGTGATGTCGTCTGTACCCAGTTAAGTGACTTACAGTATGGCTCTACCTTGATCACATTAGCTGAAAGCTATCATCACACCCAGTCCTAACTGTCCATCATCTGCTGCTGGCTGTAACAGACTTATGACAATGACACACGGAGCAGCGTCCACTGCGTAGCCCTGGACTTCCGCAGCCTGGTGCGGGAGGCAGCTCAAGGGGCACGGTGAGAATATCGAATCAAGCAGACCAAGATGCACAAGAAGTTCGGTCCTTACTGGTTAAAACCCAGGAAAAAAGAACCTTTCCAATTTATCAGCACTACAGTGATCAGAGGCCTATTGAAAAGGGGGGTGCCAAGCAGCTGGGCAGGCCCCCCACGGAGCACCTGTCTGGATGAGCCACTCGGCCAGCAGGTTGACAGTCTGAGCCACAGCTGTGTAGTTCTCTGACAGGAGCTGGATGACGTTCTCTGGGGACCCTCCTGCCTGAAAATACCTGGAAAAAGTAACACACAAGCTATTATGCTGAAATGAAGGCAGACCGGACGGGGATGGAGGGAGATAGCTAGGTTACAAAGATTTCTAAAGTGTGGAGCCCTCCGTTCCAACATCACGTTATTCCTCCTTACGTATCACCTTCCGGGTCTATTACAATTCTCCCTAAACTATCCCCCCTCCTCCCAACACAAATAAGCCCTCGCGCACCTCTTCAGAGTGTTAAAGATGGAGGGTTCCATTATGTAGTCCCGGGTAGAGAACTTGTGCAGGCATTCCTGCTGCACCTCGGCGTCATCTTCTCCCTCTCCATACTCGTCCTCCTGCTGTGGGGAAATGCCATGGGCCTCGCTAGTTTCTCATTAACACAAATGTCCTATAATCTCACCTTAAATCTGTGTAACACGGTCCCTTTCCAAAGTACTTCACATACATTATGTCACTTGGCTTTCAGGAGGATGTCATGAAGTGGGCTGGACAAGTAATGAGTGGCTAAGAAAATGGGATCCAGGATCATACCGGGTGGGTCTGTATCGTGACTCCACCCTGAGGAGCTGTGTGCAGAGGTCATATAAGTTACCTAATCTCTCTAGGTACCCATTGCCTCCTCTGTTAAACAAAGGTAATCATAGTACCTATTCCCATTTGGCTGTTGTCAGGATTCCATGAGCTAAGTTTTTTTGTTTGTTTGTTTTTTAAAGATTTTATTGGGGAATCGGGGAAAGGGGAACAGACAAGTAGCTGTCCTTTGGTTCTTCAGTCTAGTTGTGGAGGGCATCGCTTCCCTGGCCCATGTTGGTATTATCATTGCGCTCTTCCCAGGTGAGGCAGTCAGTTGCCAGCCACTGAATGGCCGCTCACAGCAGTTCACGAAAGCTCATGCCGGCTGCCGGCCAGCCTTACTGCAGCCTACACCTGCACCGGTGACTCAGGGCAGCCCAGCTCCAGGTCGAGCTGTTGTTCACCATCTCAGCTGTAGAGGGCGCAGTGTCACTGGCCCTCATGTGGGATCCGAACCGGGGCCCTGCTGCTCACAGCTGGCGTCCAAAGCCAACTCTTAACCAACGTGCCACTCGGACGGCCCACAATCTTTTAATGTTTCATCTATTTTTTTTTCTTGTCTTTAGGCTCATGTTGAATTAACATGTTCCTTAATTCATAGTACACACAAGGCCCTTCTTAGGTTTTACATCTCAATCTATTACTTCTAATTTCCCATTCTCCCCCATGCTTTCTCTTTCAACTCAACACCATATTACTAAGCTCTACCTATGCTGTTGATTATATGTCTAATATTTCTAATGCATTATTTCTAACTGTTTTTTAATAGTCTGCTGTTTATATACACTCTTTGCTTATCTAATCCTCTAGTGTTGGACATTTCTACTGCCTCTAATTCTCACAAATGAATATCCTCCTATGTATACTCGACCGCTTTTAGATCTGNCTGTAGAGGGCGCAGTGTCACTGGCCCTCATGTGGGATCCGAACCGGGGCCCTGCTGCTCAGAGCTGGCGTCCCAAGCCAACTCCTAACCAACGCGCCTCTCGGCCGGCCCCCATGAGCTAAGTTTTGAAGAGCCAAGCATGGTACCTGGCATTTAGTAAGAGTTCAATAAATGTTAGCTATTATTGCTTTCATTGTTACTACTTCCCACGTGCCATTTAACGCCTTCCAACAAAGTCGGACGCAGTGTTCTCAAAGGCATAATCCATCGTTTGCTGTTAGAAAGTAAAGACCACTGACTCGCGTTGAGTCAGCAGGCCTGGCTGGATTCTAGTCCCAGTTCTGCGAGGAATCACGTTCCTGAGTCTAAGGACAAAGCAGGGTGGTGACGTGACGACTGTAGACTGAACGACCCCAAGGTCTTCCATCTTTAACGTGTCACCCTAAATAACAGGCAGGTGCTTTCTAAACAATTACTATGCACTGAGCACTGTGCTTGTCACCAGCAACCTCAGAACGTATAAGACAAGGCACGTCTCTTTCCACCAAAGGAAAGAAACAAGCCAGTAGGGGAGACCGGCCTCCATGCACCTGACTCTAACATAACGGGCTAAGAGCTGGGCCAGGAATCAGCAAACTACGGCCCAGGCCAATTCTAGCGTTCCTCTTGTTTTTGTAAGTAATTTTTAAAGGGAACGCATTATGAAAAAACATACTACCTACGGCTGCTTTCCCCCAATAACAGCAGAGCTGAGTAGTTGTGAGAGACCTGCAGAGCCTGAAATATTCACCATCCAGCCCTTTCCAGGAAAGTCGTCCCCCCGCTCCCCGGCCCCAGGTCTAGTGTAACACCTGAAAGCACGTGCTGCGGGAGCAGTCTGCCCTGTGGGGACGGGGGTCTTCTCTCAGCCTATGCCTGTGTGGGGGAGCCGTGGAGGAAGGCGGGGCTACACCCTGAGGCCCCTCGTGTCTGCACTCGGGGGTTCCTACCTGGACCCTCTTCCAGTTCTACTCCACCTCCCCTGGGGCCATGGCGCCTCCCTCCTCGGAAACGTCTCTCCCCGCCCCCCCCTTCTCCGGACTCTAGCATTCAGCAGTCCGCGCTCCTTTCACCTTTCACACGGATTCCACAGTCAGCTCCGTACGCCACTAGACTGATGGCCTCGCTCTCAGAAAAGACGCCCGCGCTCTAGCATGGCCGCCCCTTCCGCCCGTTCACCAGGCCCGCCTCGCCTCCCGCCACGCCTGCGGGCGGCCTGCAGCCGAACTACGCTATTCGCATTTTAGGAGCTCTGCGCTTCCGGGGCGGACTTCGCATCACGGCGGCCTCCGGACACATCTTCCCGCCTTCCACAAGCCACCCGGCACGGCCTCAAGGAACCGGAACTGGGGGCGCAGGGCATGACCGACCACTAGCTTTCCAAATCCAGCTCGCGCCACCCTTCTGGCAGACCTCGCCCTCCTCCGAGCGGCCAGTCAGAAGGGCCGGGAAAAGAACACCCGGTCCACCCCGACGTCCTCCGCGAGAGCCGAGGAGGGCCAGAGGGCCGCACGGGGGTCCTGACGGACGCTCTGCAGACCTGAGGCTCCGCAGCCCGCAGGTGTGGCCTGGCTCTGCCCTCCCTGCCCACACGAGCCAGGGCCCGGAGCGGGCGTGCTCCGCTCATCCGATGAGCGCACTGGACTAGCTGGCCCTCAACACGCCTTCGTTCTGACACTCTGCGACTCGAAGGCTCGACGTGACAAGGTACTGGCATTCTGAGCAGGATGCTCCCGACACCAGCCCGCCACGAGGCTGAGTGTCTCTCCTCTGGACGACTTGGGCGACCAGCAGTTTGCGCAAGTAGCGATGGAGACAATGGACCAGGGGGACCAGCACGTGGCTGCGCCTGTCCCCAAGTCCGAGGCCAGCGGGTCACCTCGTGCCACGATTGGGAGCCAGCACGAGCCCTGCACCGTGACAGCCGCGGCGCGGGGCTCACTCCGCGGGGTGCCGCCCCTCGCCCCCACTCCCACTCATTTGCAAGTGCAGGAACAGAGGCCGGCGAAGCCGCGTGCGTGACCCCCCGGCGGGCAGCGGCGTGAGGGGCGGGCCCCGCCGGCCTGGGGTGAATGGCGGCGGCGAGTGGGGCGCGCTGTGCTTAGACCACACGGTGACCGCGGGGCCGGGGCGGAGGGGGCGGAGACCAACAGTCCTCGTCGGGGCCGCCCGGTGCCCCCCTCACCTGGCCGCCGTCCGCCTCATCGCCCCACTCGGCCGCGCTCCCGAAGTAGTCCTCGTCCATGATGGCGCCCGGCGCGGCCCCCGCCATCCTCTCCCGCGAGCGCGCGCGCGAGCAAGGCGCATGCGCACGGCGGAGCGGACGCGTGAACGCTCGGACGCGCGCCTCGGTCGGGGGCGGGGCCACGAGAAAGGGGCGGGGCGCAGGGGGCTGCCCCTTGCTCGTTGCTCCAGGCGTCCAGGGCCGGGCGGGAGCCTGGGGGAGGCGGGGCCTGAACGAAGGGGCGGGGCTACCCCACCCACGTTGATCCCAGTGCCCGGGGCCGGGTGGAGCTGGGCGGAGTGCCGGCTGAGGGAACTTCCTGAATTGACCCAGGGGCACGGCCTGGTGAGGTCTGTGAAATTTTAGCTCTGGTTAGAAGTTTTGAACTAGACTCACGTTTGGTCTGGGTTCGGGGTCCCAGGTCCACCCTCTTCTTCCCTGCAACTTTCGTCCTTAGAGCATCAGTTTCCTCATCTGACAACTGGGCACATGGCAGAGCCAACCTGTCAGGCACAGTATCTAGGTCCCGTGAAAATGTTTTCTTTTAAAATCATTAGAACAATGACTATTATAACAATGAATCCAACCTGAGTTATATCTATCTATATCTATCTATGTATATATAACTGGTATAAAGAACTAATGCAGTGTAATACGTAATATTTAATATTTCTTTATGCAAGAAGGGCTCACGAAGGCCACAGTGTGTAAGGCCCACAAATGTTGGAATGCAGCCCTGGAACAGACGGCCTGCCTCGTGGGGCGGCTGCTGAGGACAGCTGAGATGATGCTTTTAAAGCCCGCCGCCCGCTTCCCAGCCAGTAGGAGGTCCCAAGTGACAGCCTGAAGGTCACCCCAGACAGTCTTGAGCAGAGATGTTAACACCTGACCTGGATGCTCTGAAAGGTAATGCCCGTCCATTGACAACTGCGACGATTATGAAGAGCTTAACAGGCAAGCACTGTGCTTTCATTCATGCCTTCTTTCATTCATTCGACTACTGTTTATTGGATGCCTGTAGTGCCTAGTCCTAGGCTACTCCCTGAGCTCACTGCTGAACAAATTGGACATGACATGGTCGTTGCCCCGGGGGAGCCTGCATTCTACTGAGGGAGAGGAATGGGAAACAAATACATTGATGACAGAGGGTGACCAGGGCTAGTGTTCTGTGATAACGGGAGAGGACGACTTTGGGCAATCAGAGAAGGCTTCTCCGAGAAACTTAGGTTTGAGCTGAGAGTCATATGATAAAAGGAGTCAGTTGAGCCAGGACCAAGGAGAGCACATTTGAGGAGAGTGTAGCCACTTGCCATGTGACCTTGGAACACAAGGGCCACTGAGACTGGCCCCTGGCAGGCCAGGGAGAAGCCCAGATGCAGTGGGCAAGGCAGGCGGGGCCCGATCTTGGTGGGGAGTTAGGTTTTTAACTGAGGGCTATTAGGAAGGGTTTAGTACAATAATGTATGTAGAGCACTGAGCGTGGAGCCTGCACACAGTAGGTGCTCAGTAAGTATTAGTTATTATGATGAAAACGAAATGTTTGGGAGTTTTTTGGTTTGGTTGCTTTGAGGGTGTAACAGGACCATCTCTGCATTTTCTAAGCTGTGACCCATAGCTGAGGCAGGAGGGCTTACAGAAGAGAGCTTGGAGCTGGGAATGGGAGTTAAGAAGCCTCAGTGAGAGTGACGGGGTGCTGAGAAGGGGGCCAGGGTGGCTGCTGTGAGGTTGAGTTTCTGTCTGAGAACATGGCAGCCTTGGGGGAGCCGAGGAGCAGGCTGGGAAGATGCTGCTGAAACTCGCAGCCTGTGTGCCAGGGTTGGGCCACTGTGGAGACAGGGAACCCAGGCAGAAGGTAGATTTCTGCAAGGGACTGTAATGAGTTTGACAAGGGGTTCAGATTGGGTTGCATTGCATTCGAGGTGCCGTCAGATCACCCATGCGGAGATGTCTTGCAGGTGACTTGGAGGTGGAAGTGTGCAGCTCCTGATTCAGTGAATCGAGTTTCAGCTTCTATTCAGAAAATTAAAGTGTATTAAGTTAATGAGTGCCCCTGCTGATGGCTTGTTTCCAGGTTCATTTTCATGTGCTTTCTGGAATGTTGCAAAGAATGGATGGCTGTTTAAACTCCCACTCCTTCTCTTGGATTTCCTTTTATTAAATTGTGCGTGAATTGAAAGCAGGCAAATTAATATATGTATAACTAATTGCTTGTATAGAAACAGGGATTATTTAACTCACCTTGCCCTCAACCAAAAGGTTACTCATTAAATGAATTAACAAACAACCCCTAATGAAAGCATTACATTCGGTCTATAAGTTGCAATGATTTAGAATAATTGGGTCTATAGGTCTTGCCTCCTGAGATATTGTTGACTCGTTGTTTTTGAAAAACCTGATGATCTAAAATGTCCAAATTAGCTTGCATTACTTAAAATACATATTCTAAAGTCATGTAAGATATTTTCCTGTTTAAGAAAAATTCTGGTGGAAAATTTCCGTGAAAATGAGGAGTTGGTTTCACTTAATCCAGTCAAGGAATATTAATCGAATGACTACTTGGTGTTATGGGCTGGGACATAGCTGTGAACCATAGACATGGTCTGTCTACTGCTAATGGCAGAAAAAATAAAAGCCGTCTCTCATGATAGGGAGGGTGCAGAGGGGAGGGGGCTTGAGCCTCAACAGATGTCAAGGAATACCTTTCTAGGGAAATGATATTTACCCTGAGACTCTAGGCTTGAACCTGGAGTACAAAGAGAATAGGGCACAATAGAGAAAATAAAAGATGACAGTGAAAAGAAAGGGCTGGAGTGCACACACAAAAAAGGGGAGAGCGAGATGGCCGAGAGATAGGCAGGAGCCAGATGACCTCAAAACTTGCAAGGGGTTTGGACATTGTCTCCCAAGGTAATATGTAGCCTTTGAAAGCTTTACACACAAGAGCGATGTGATTAGATGTAGGGTTTTCGGAAGATCCTTCTGGCTGCCATGGAGAAAGGGTCTGAAGGGAGCAAAGCAGAGGCTGGGTGGCCAGTTAGGATGCTATTGACAAGACGGCCAAGTGAGATGTGCTGGTAACTGAGATAAAGGCAGGCTTGAGGAAGAGGCGAACAAGTTTGCCAAAGGCTTAGGAGGCCAGACAGATGGCGTTTGAAGGGTCTGACCTGATGAGTGCATAATAAACACTGAATATTGAAACCCTTCACTTTCTATTTATGCTTCAGCCCACTCCTCTCTTCTTCCGCCTCCTTCATGCCATGAACAACACCTGCCAATGCCAACTTCTTCTCCATACACAGAGAACATTTCTCTGTCTTCACTTTATTTGATCTCTCAAGATGAGTTGACACAGATAGCTGTGACCTTGTTGAAATGCTACCCTTCCTCTGTGTCCACAGCATCACACCTTCCTGGTTTCCGCCCCCCTCCTCAGCTGTCCCTTTACTTGTTCTCTAGATATTGTAGTTCCTCCGGACCCAGGCTTAGAGCATTTTCTACCTCCACTTTCATCCATCCCACATCTTCAAAACCATTTACATGCTGAGAGTTGTCAAGTTTGGATCTCCAATCCTTGTGTCTTCTCTGATCTCCAGACTTGAGTATCTGAGTGACCTAACTGTCCTTGACTTCACCATTAGAGTTCCCCAGGGGCATCTCAACACCTCTATGAATACCCCAAACATGGGCCTTCTGCAGGAAATCGGGCGACCAGCTCCACAGGTATCAATACCAAACACTTGGAAGTCATCCTTAACTTCCATCCTCCCCATCCAATCCAAAGGCACTTCCTGATTTCTAAAAGCCTGCCTTCAATCTAGACACTTCTCTCATCTCCACCACCACCTTCTTAGTCCAGGTTCCCCCTGGCTGTCACCTAGTCAACTGCAGTGTCCTCAGGTAAATCTGACTACATTTCTTTCTCTGTTACAGTCCATTCTCCAAATATCCACAAAGTTTTGCATTTTTAAATTTTGCTAAATCACCTCATCATAAAGAAAAACACCAAAGATTGCAAAACTCCCCCTATTTTTTGCTATAATTTGTGTCCTTATGATGCAAGTAAAATGGACAAATACTTATGAGACATCTAGATACAAGGTTAGGTGCCAAGGGTGAAACAAGGTGACCAAGATGAATATGACCCATGCCATCAAAGAGCTAAAAATCTCCACTATCATAGAGAAGAAATGTGATATGCAAGTAGTTAATTTAAATATGAGGGTAAAAATGACATATGCTGTGAGAGAAGTGGTGATAAAGTTCTCATTTCTTTATCTTATTTCTGGCTGAGGTGGTTAAGGATTTTTTCTTAGGAAACAATGGCTTTTGAGCAGGTACTTAGAGGGTAGGCAGGCTTGGAGCATGTTGGGATTAGAGGAAAGGGCATTTTAGGGAGAAGGAGCAAGAAGCAAAGTTATGGAGAATAAGGAATGGGTCCGTTTGGTTGATCCATAGGAAAGAGAAAGGGGCAGTGGGAGATGAAGCTGGAAAATCGTAGGAGACCCTGGAATGCCTTGAAATACGTGCTAAAGACTTTATGTAGCCTTCTGTCCTGTAGGGTACAGGCAATGGGAAACTATGAAGGTTTCTGAGCAGCAGAATCCCATGAACAAACTTTAATGTGATGAGAATAATCTGGCAACAGTGCATAGAATGATTTAGAGGTTATACAGTTTCCATCCCTAAACTTCCTTTCTGCTTCTCCAAAGTGACTCACTTGCCATCACAAAGTTTTTTAATACTCCTCTTTCAAGAGGTGGGGCTTAGAAAAAGAGCAACCTAAGCCAAATTCAATAACATGGTTTACGACAAAAAGGATTGTAGATGATAACCAAGAGGATTATTAACGTCCTGTGCAACTCCAGTCTACATGTCAGAAAAGTGTGACCATCAAAAGCTCCTAAATGTACA